TGATTTGCATACCATGGGTGAGATTCAGCCACTACCGTTTGAGTTCGTCGATTTTTTTTCTACAGAGATTCCTTTAGGCTTGCCACCTCTGCGAGACATTCAGCACCAGATCGACCTGGTGCCTGGCGCCTCTCTTTTGAACATATCTCATTATCGAATGAGTCCAGTGGAGCACGAAGAGTTACATCGGCAGGTGGAAGAACTGCTACAGTGAGGGGTGGTACAACGGAGTCTCAGCCCGTGCGCGGTTCCAGCCTTGTTGATCCCGAAGAAAGACAGGGCGTGGCGGATGTGCGCTGACAGTCGAGCGATCAACAAGATCACAGTCAAGTATCGATTTCCTATTCCTCAAGTCGATGATTTGTTGGATCAATTGCATGGGGCCACTGTCTTTACCAAATTGGATCTCAGTAGTGGTTATCACCATATTCGGATTAAGCCAGGGGACGAGTGGAAAACGACATTCAAGATTCGAGAGGGTCTGTTTGAATGGTTAGTGATGCCGTTTGGCCTATCAAACGCGCCGAACACGTTTATGCGCATCATGAATCAGACTTTACGGGACCTTATCAGTAAGTGTGCCGTCGTTTATTTCGACGATATACTTATCTACAGTCGCACAGTTGAGGATCATTTAGAGCATGTACGATCGGTGTTGCTCTTCTGTGGGCCAAGTCCTTTTTTGCGGCGCACCAGAAGTGCTTTTTTATGGTGGAGTCGATTCCTTTCTTGGGGTTTGTGATCTCGGCAGCAGGTATTCAGGTAGACGAGAGCAAAGTGGCGGCAATTCGTGATTGGCCGACACCGACTTCCTTCACCGAGGCACGAAGCTTCTATGGTTTGGCTTCATTTTATCGACGATTCATTTCACACTTTAGTTCGCTGATGGCCGCAATTATGGATTGTCTCACCGGGAAGACTTTAGTTGGACGCCGGCAGCCGTTGATGCTTTTGCTCTCATAAAGAGCAAGTTGACGTCGGGCCCGGTGCTCGTGCTACCGGATTTCTCATGCCCATTTGAGCTGTTATGCGACGCATTTAAAGTGAAGATTGGCGTTGTACTTGCTCTGGACGGGCGTCCGGTCTCCTTCTTCAGCGAGAAATTATTGGGCCCGAGATTACGTTACAGCACATATGACATTGAGTTCTACACAGTGGTTCGGGCAGTCTGGCATTGGCGCCATTATCTCCTTCACATGGAGTTTATTTTGTACACCGACCATGAGGCCTTACGACACCTTGCTTCTCAGGACAATATCTCGGCGAGACATGCATCGTGGACGGCTTTCCTACAGCAGTTCATTTCGTTTTGCGACACCGTTCGGGTGCTTCGAACAAGGTGGCAGATGCTCTAAGACTAGGAATNATATAATAAAATAAAATAAATAAATAAATATACCAAAATTCATAATTTTTAATTCTCTACAAATAGAGACCAATTTTGCTATACTTATTTTTTATTTTTAAATTGACATAAATATATAGTTTTTAAATTTCGTATGTTTTTTATATAATAAAATATAAATATACCAAAATTCGTAATTTTTAAGTATGTATGAATATTTATACTAATTATGTTGTATTTGTTTATTATTTTTAAATTAAAATAAATATGTTAAATCATATTACATAAATCCCCATCACTTCTAACAAAAGAAATCAATCTGAGCCGTTTGTTAAAAGCACAATCTTCGTCAATTTGATTTTCACCGTTCATCACTAAAGCAATTAATCTGGTCCATTCTTTCAAAAAGCACAATCCATGTCAAATTGACCCCTAGCATTCATAAATACAACACACCAGAATTTTGTATCATCAAATCACTACAATCAAAAACTTTCTTCTTATCCAAATTATCATTTCCACCAAACTTTTGCAAAAGATGTCATCAGATGAAAGCTTTGATGAATGGCATGAAGGCCTTATACTTCAAAATCTTCAAATTGACTCACAAATGGAGGAAATTGCTTTTCGCATTCCTACTATATCTTTTCAGCCTACAAACACCTAATGAGCCCCGACGATGCTACATTGAGCGACAACGTGAGAAGGGCCATGAAGGGGTGTTCGAGCAATACTTTTAAGATGATCCAATATATCCTCCAGAAGTTTTCGGAACAAGATTTCGTATGCGGAAGCCATTATTCGAACGAATAATGAGTAAACTCGTTGAAACAGAAGAATTTTTTTCAACAAAAAAGTGATGCAACTGGGAGATTAGGTATGTCCTCAATTCAAAAATGTACTGCAGCTATGAGAGTTTTGGCATATGGTACAGGAGCTGATTTGCATTATGAATGCCTTCGAATGAGTGCACAAACTATTAGAAAATCTGTTAAAAAATTTGTGCAGGGTGTGATTTCAAACTTTGGTGATGAGTACCTCAGAAAGCCGAATGAAGGAGACTAATTAAGCATATTTGTTGCATATTGGTGAACAAAGAGGTTTCCCAGGTATGTTAGGAAGTATTGATTGCATGCACTCGGAGTGGAAAATTTGTCCTGCTGCATGGGCAGGACAATATACAGGAAGAAACGGTAAGACAACAATCATTTTGGAAGCCGTTGCATCACAGGATTTATGGATCTGGCATGCATTTTTTGGAACTCCGGGGTCCAGAAACGATATCAACGTGCTTGAACAGTCTCCTGTTTTCAAGGATGTCTTGGAAGGTCGAGCACCAAAGGTTAGTTATATTGTCAATGGCCATGAGAAGAATATGGGATATTATCTCACTGATGGGATATATCCTCAATGGGCAACATTTGTGAAATCAATCAATCATCCACAAATTAAGAAGCACCAGCTATTTGCTCAACATCAAGAAGCAGCTCAAAAAGATGTCGAGCGAGCATTTGGGGTTCTGCAGGCTCGTTTCCATTTCATCAGACAACCATGTCTTCTGTGGGATCGTGACATGATGGGAAAAGTAATGCTTGCTTGCATCATCATGCACAATATGATAGTGGAAGATGAGAGACACACTTACTTAGACTATTGTGATCCTACAGAGTTTATGGAGGCTAGAAGATCAAATCCTCAAAATGAAGATGATGAGAATTTAAATTTTGAATTCTCTACGGAACGAATTGCAAGTTTATCTAGCTACATGACAAATAGGTCACAACTTCGTAGCAAAGAAGCTCACATTGCTCTGCAGAAAGACCTTACCGAGCACATTTGGCAAAAGTTTGGGCGTGAAAATTGAGATTTGTTTGTTATATCTCAGTATCGTAATATTCTTATGTTGTAACTTCTCAGTGTCGTGATTTTTCAATGTTGTAATGTCTTACTAGTGTCGTAACATTTCAATATGAGTGTCGTAATATTGTAATGTTGTAACTTCTCAGTGTTGTATTTTTCCAATGTTGTAATGTCTTAGTGTCGTAATATTTCAATATGAGTGTCGTAATATTGTAAGTTCTTATTGTCGTAACTGATATTGTAATTTTCCAGGGTTATAAATTTCAGATATACAATTGATAATCCATGTGAAAAAGCACAATCCATGTCACTTTGATCTCCACCATTCATCACTAAAGTAATTAATCCTATCCATCCATCAAAAAGTAATTAATCCTATCCATCCGTCGAAAAGCAATTAATCCTATCCATCCATCAAAAAGCATAATCCATGTCAAAAGGTACAATTCATGTCAGTTTGATCTCAACCATTCATCAAAAAGCAATTAATCCCGTCCATCCATCAAAAAGCAATTAATCTCATCCATTCGTCAAAAAGTACAATCCATGTCAAAAAAACACAATCAATGTTGATAAATAGAGACCTCATTTAGCATATTTCACACACACCAGAAAATCATCTCCATTTCATCTTCCTGTCATTACCAAAACTCTTTGTTCTCAATTTATCAATGGATCCAAGCGATTTTTTCTCAAACACTGAAGATTATTGTAGCGCCCCATTTGTTCCGCAATTAATTGGAGATTTTTATTATTATTTTATTTTATTTTATTCCGAAATTATTTATTCGAGCTCGATAATTCTATTTCGATTATGTGGTCATAATTGTTAATTGTATAAATTTTAATATGAGTCGAATAATATTATTATTTTATTAAACTGCCAGAGTGAAATAATTATTTGATGATGTATTTATTAGTGTACGCTAATAAATATATATTATGTCGGTTTCGTGAATTTAAAAGATTTACGAGTCGTCATATTTTATTTTTCCAAGCGTTATGTATATTCGGAATTTATGAAATTGAGTCCGATAAACCAATAGTCGAAACCAGCCGATTCGTAAACCGTTGTTTACGAATTAATGGGGATTATTTATTATTATTATTATTATTATTATTATTATTATTATTATTATTATTATTATTATTATTATTATTATTATTACTGTTATTATTATTGAATGACTAAATATTATTGTTGCCCAACTGTATTTATTTCCTAATTGTATAATTTAATTATTAATATTATTATTTTAAAATAATGTATGTATTAAATAAATATTACTCGGTTGTTATTTTATTTTATCGCGCGATTAAAACCGAGCCCGAGAGTTGTATTATTTTTGGCGAAACCCGTATGGATCAGCCCGTGAGCCAAAACCCGGTTTACTAATTTTGTACGTGAGTAGGAAGCTTCTTGGAAATCAAGAAAAGTCAACACATTATTCATATATAGATACAATTTTTGTATGTATCTCTCCTCACATGAACACAACATCTTGATCCGAGAATCACTCCAACATGTTTTTCCTCCTCTTGAATCTGATCTTGATCCATTTATACTCGCTCACTCTCTTCCTCTCTCGTCAATCTCACCCTCAGTCAATCTCTCTCTCACTGATCGTCCTCGCACCATCATCATCTCCTTCATTTTTCTGCAAAAACCCGATCACCTCTCATCTCGTCACCCGCCTTGCAGCCCCGATCGCTTTCACCGTCGCGAGCTGCAGCGACCTTTCTCGCGACTCTGTTTTCCGACGAGCCTCTGCAACCTCCGGCGCCATCACCATCTTCATCCGTCATCACCATCGAAGCTCCCATTTCCGACGAGTTGCGGCATCAACAACGAGAGTCCCGCAGCGCCCACACCGGCGAGCTTTCGACGTGCAGAACCACCAGCAGCCCCGAGCCGCCGCGCCTCAGTCGCCCCTCTTCTCGCCGCTGCAACTTCCGGCGCCAGCAAACCAACAGCCATCGATCCCTCCGGTGAGCCTTCGCCAAACCCACAGACATTCCCCCGTCGAACCGAGCCGTCGTTCAGCCCGTTTTTCCTCCGTTAGTTCGTGAATTTTCGAAAGCGGGTAACTCATTCGAACCCTCTCGTGATTCCGGTCGTGTTCGTATATTACATAATATATATATATATATATATAGAGAGAGAGAGAGAGAGAGAGAGAGAAGGGATCATATGAGAAAGGGAGATAGTGAAAGAAATAAGAATGAATATCTACTGTTGGATCAATGATATCAATGGACATGATCAAGTCAAACATTAATAAATCTGGTCAAAACGCGATGGTATATTGTAAATATTTGTATATTTCATGGCCAAGTGTACACCCCAAAGGGCACTTCTGTATTTTGGTTTCACCATAATTCAGTGGGCCCCACGACTCATTAACCCTTCCCGTCCCCTCCCTCACACACACAAATACACACAATCTATTTCTTTTTCACTCATGCACGCACACAGTTCACACACACACACACACACACACACAGAGACACGGCGGCACCACAGCACACAGCCACCTCTCGCCGCCTCCGACCACACCCAGCGCCGCCTCGCCATCGCCGGATCTCGCCTCGCCCTCGCCAGATCTTCACAGCGCCACCATCATCGGCCACTTCGATCTCAACAACCATGTCCGTGGCGAGCTCGCCGGCGACCATGACGACAGCGGCCGCACTCCGCTGCAACAGGCGTTCATCGGTGTCCGACGTCGTCGTCGGTAGCATCTTCTTTTTCGGCGGGGGGTGATTGTGTGGTGGCCGACGGAAGGCGACGGCGGCGATGGCGAACGTCAAAGGTTCACCGGCGGCAGAGAAGATTCGTGTGTTGCAGACGAGTTGCAGAAGAAGATGAGTCGGGAATAGTAGAGAGACGGCGACGGCGACCTGAACGGGACGAGCTCGCCGGAGATTTGAACGGGAGATAGGAGGCGGCGGCCGGAAACGCTTTGGGGGCTGAGGAATTGCATCATGATTATGGTTGATTTTGATTTAGGTGAATTTTCATTCTGATTGTGAACAATTTTCGGTGAATTGTAGGTGAATTTTCATTCTGATTCTGTGAAGTGTGAACAATCAATTTTAGGTGAATTGTGGGTGAATTTTCATTCTGATTCTGGGAACAATTTTCGGTGAATTGGCAGGGTGAAGTTAAATGCAATTTTGGTTGATTTGGGTGAAAATTGATTTAGGGGTTAGTTTTATGTAAATTAAGTTAATGTTAGGGACTTTTTGTAATTTTTGTAAAACTTTAATTATAACATAAATTAATTAGTGATATAAATATTAATACTAAATTATTAAGAATTTAATAAATATAAAGATAGTGTTACGAAATTTTTAAAACCTAAAAAAAATGATATTTTACCAAAATACTTGACATATAAAATAATAATAATAATAATAATAATAATAATAATAACAATAATAACAATAATAACAACAATAATAGAATAAAAATATAAAAATTCGTACTGAATTTCTGTTCGTTTGATATCATTCGTTTTTGTGCAATGTGGTAGACATTTGTGTGCAATCTGTATAACCTTAATGTGCAATCGCAATACATAAAAATATATAGATAAAAAATAGTATTAATTATAATAAAAAGTATAAATAAATAAATAATCGGTAATATTTTTTCGTATATTTCGACGTGTGCGGTTATTTTGTTTATTAAAAAAAAAAATAATTCTGACATTAACCAACTAATATTATTTGATCGATTATTAAAATTACTGTAATTTTGATACGTGCGACGTGTTGTGTTATAAGGTGCAACATATTGTTGTATAAAGTGCAGTTTATTGATATATAAAGTGCAATACTGATATTATAGTATGTTATCACGAATGTGTTTATTTATTTATTTATTTTTTTAAATATAATGTGACGTATAGTAAAGTATTTTGTTGCTCCATTTTTTATATTCATATTGAGTAATATTTTGGCGTGATTGTTGACATTAATTGTGGAGTGTGTTTATAAAGTGCAACGTGTTATATTATAAAGTGCGATATTTTTTTTATTATAAAGTGCAATGTTTTATTATATAAATTGCACTAATTTATAGTTTACCATATATATCCGAAAACTAGTTTTATTATAGAGAATTTACATCTAATTAATATAAAGTGCAACTCGATCATATATAAAGTGCACTAATTTATATGATCACATATAAATTATGTGTTTTTGAAATATAGAATAGTAGATATAATTGTACATAAAATTAACCTAAATAATTTAAATAATTGTGGAGTGTGTTGATAAAGTGCATCGTGTTGATATATAAAGTGCATTATTTTATACCGTTTGGCCATTGTATAACAAAAAATAAAAAATAAAAATAAAAATAAAAATCAATTACACAATAAGTATAAAACAAAAATAATGATGATTAGCCTTGTACAGGCTCTTACCAACAGTTCAATTAAAAAGAAAAAAATAATAATATTTTTTATACAATTTTTATAAATTACATATTTTGCTCATTGACCAAATTGGAATTGAACTAAAATTATGTAAATTGCAATTGGGTCCTTGAAAGTTATCAAATTCTCAAATACAAGCCCCTAAATCAAAACAAATTTACAGTCATTTTCTGGCACTGAAATTCGACGCGTGCCTTGCCCCGCCGTACACGGAGCTGCCGGCGGTTGGAAGGCCACTGTTGGCCGGGAACGGAATGTCGCCGGAGACGATTTAGCCAGATTTCCAATTGTTTCCCGATCTCACGCCGGCGACCGGGACTATTCTTCCATTGTAGGAGACGAAAATGGCGGAGTGAGCACCGTTAATGAGGAGACTACGTTGTCTGGCGGAGATGCGGCGGCGACGTGGTCGGAGTCACTGCCGGAGATTTTGTGCGTGAGTGTGTGTAGTGTACGTCTGTGTGTGCTCTGCAAATAATGGCAACCTCACCGGAGATTTTGGACGTCGACGGCAACGGCTACTGAGAGGACGAAGAAGGCGACGACTACGTTTCCCGGCGTCCATGTCGGCGGCCATATTCTAGAACCATGAGGACGAAGATGGCAGCGGGAATGTCAGATCTGGAGGAAGACGGTAGCAGCGATGGCGGCGGGAATGGCGGATCTGGAGGAAGACGGCGGCGGATATGGCAAATTGAAGGTGGGCATCGTTTTCAATATGTGTACAGTGAGGGTGTGTATGTATGTGGGACTTTGTGTGAGAGAGAGAGAGACAATATGAGAGAGAGAGAGATTGGTGAGGTGAGTGGATCACGTGGGAGAGTTGGTGTTTATGGGCCCACTATTTGTATGTGAAAATTACCACATTGTCCTTAATGAAAGTATAATATTGACTTTTTTTTATCCATCAGATCATCCGATCCAATGACTACAATTTATTCTTATTTCTCGCATTAAGGGTCATTCTCACCGGAGCGTGACCCTATATATATATATATATATATCATACGTGTTATCGAATTCTTGTTTGAAGTCGGATTTATTTCGAATGGTTTACCGTCTCGTATATGTCGGTTCGTTTATCGTGTTATGCTCGTGATCTTGTTAAACCGAATATCATGTTGTTGCTGTGTTGAACCTAAATGTGCTCGTTTATTTTCTATCGAGAAAGTCATATTAATCGTGGTCGAGCTTAGAACATTCGTCATATGAGTTCATTGTTATTTCATGTGAAATCGCATTTCTGCTGTTCTGTTGTGGCGTCGTTTAGGCCATCAGAAACCTGTTCTTTGAAAATGTGGTCTTCATATGAAATGTAGTACGTTCTGTTTGCTAAACCTGGGCTTTGGAATTTCTCGATTCCGAGCTATATCGATAAAGTTATGATTTTTACAAAAATGTTGCGAGTTCAGTTTTCCTGCTACCCGGCAGCATATCTGTAATTAATGTGTGACCTGTTTATCATATTGTAATGTACTCGTATGAACTTACACTCTTCATGGAAGTTATAAATATATTTCTTGCCTTTCAAATGAGATAGATTTCTTGTCGATACGTGCTCTGTAGCTCGAGTTATGATTTTATGAAGATAGATATGCATGAGTTAGGAATTATCCTGTTGGCAGAAATATGGATCCGAATGTTAACAGCTTTTTGACCATTCAAATGAGCTCATATGTTTCTGTGTTCTAAATGAAAGTTGTAGACAAATTCCTAAGGTTTAATTTGAGAATTGAACCATATTATTTTGAGGTCTGTAGCTCAAGATAAATGTTAAAAACTGAGGTACTGTCCATGTTCATTATACTTGTTTTGACAGATTTACTGAATCACATGTATTGTGTTTAAACTCGTGGTTAATGTGATTATTTGCCAATATGATTTTCAGCAAAGTTGTAGACATTTGAATTATCTATCATGTGGTTTTTGAAATTCATTAAAAGCATGACTGTAGCTCCTGTTAAATAGAAATTACTGAAGTCTGGTCAAGTGTATTTTTCCAGTTTTGGACTGTGACTCAAATTTTGATGTTTGTTGGATTATCACCGGTTAAATGACCTCATTTGCCTGCAGTGTCTTCATATGAATTGTAGATTTATCTCTTAGTATTCCAATGCAACTTGATGGATGTTCATACGAGTTGTGTGCTGAAAGTTATGTCGATTTTAAAAACGCTGCCCGGGTTGATTTTTTCAAAACTTATGTGATATTTTATGAAATATGTCTTCCTTGATCTAATGCATGCTTGAATGCTTACGTGGACTTAGTTGAACTAAGAAAATTGTTGAATAGTCTTTGATAAGGCTATTTTAATAAATGTAGGTGTTTGACGAGTCGACCTCGCCGACTACTATTCTTGTGCGTTTGACTCGATCGCTACCAGGTGGGTTCATTTATGTTGAATCTACATTTATCGCACTTGTTATTTCATATAAATGTTTGTCGCGATAGCTTCTGTATGCATGAGAACCCTAGTCTAAGTGTCCTGACGGTAGTGCATTTGACGAATGCATAATCAGTGGAAGTCACCTGCCCGTCGTATCCGGGAGGTGGGCGCCCGAATCCGTGTAGAGCGGAGGGGATTGTCTGAACGCCCGAATCCGTGTAGAGCGGAGGGGTATTTCAACTTCACTGCTCCTGGATAATATCCTATGCCCGTTGCATCCGGGTGGGAGTGCTTCCAGTTACATCCTTGCCGATGTCTGGTCGGAAGGTTTGTTGTATGTACATAGGAGATTTGCGATAGGGCCTAATAGGGAGTTAGATCTGGATTCTATGTGTAATGCCCCGTTTGATTATTGAATTTTTAAGAATTATTTATTATTATTATTATTATTATTATTATTATTTATCTTTATTTGTTATTATTATTATTATTTGAATGCTAAATATTATTAAATGTCTAAAATGATTTATTTGTCAACTTGCGATTAAATGTCTAATTGTCTAAATGATATTTATTTGCCAAATTGTAATTAAATACTTAAATGTTATTATTATCTATTTAAATGTATATTTGTATTTTTATTAATATTAATATTTTTAAATTAAATTGTGTGTATTTTAAATAATATCCGTGTTATTTATTTTCATCGTGCGAATTAATTTGGGGAACCGATTTAATTTTTTGTCTAGTCGGGTCCGGGAGCCGAATCGTTCCTTGAACTAGCCCCGAACCGGTGCCCCGAACCCGGGCCAGACCTGTTTTTCCAGCCTTGCACGTGTGTGTTATATTGTGTAACAAGATTAGTTAACCCTAATCTAATGATTTGTCTTATAATTATCTCGCTCAAGCATAGCAGTAGCAGCTTTTCTCCTCATTCACGCCAGAACAGAGAAGTTCTCTTCTCTCTCAAATCGGTTCCCTCATCTTGCAAATAAAACCTCACTTCCATCAATCATCGCCCTCATCTCCTTCCCCCTTGAATTGGTCGCACTTGTCATCTTCTTGCGAGCAAATCCGACACCCTTCACAGATCGCCCAAATCCCTCCTCGACACCCCTCTTCATCTCGCTCGCAAATTGGACCTATCAGCCACCATCGCCGGCCATCCCCGCACCCTTGTCGGGGAGAGCCCTTATCGACGGCGTCCCTGCACCCCCGTCTGTCACCGCGAACAATTCCTCCGGCGAGACGAGTTACGTTCGCGGCTGGAATCAAATAGCCGGCTCAATTGTTCGTGGCTGAGAAATCCCCGGTGATGCTGAGCAGCGATTTTAGGTGACGAGGGCTGGCCTGTTCACCACCAGGTTTTGGCGAATTTTCGGTGCATTTGGCGAGATCCCGGTGAGGGAGTTCCGTTCTTCGATTGAAGAAGCCACTGACAGCGACCTTGCGGCAGAGGCAGGCAAAGATGGTGAGCCAGGGCCACCCGATTTTCTGGCAGATATGACCACCGACGGGCCGCGACCTCTGCACCTGCACCACCCGACGATCCCTCTTCCACCAGCGACCTTCTGTTCAGCTGCCATCGCTCGAGCCACCCCGACAGACCCCAGCCACGAGCCTTCTGGTCAGCCGCGAGCCTCAATCGAGCCCCGTCGAGGAAGCCGCGATCTGGAACCTTGCCGATGAGATCCACGCACGTCATGCTGAGCCGCCTCTCAGCCCGCACGCACTCCGGCAGCCGCGAACCACCGTTGCAACGCCTCGCCGGTTCCATCGGGCTCCGGAGCCGAACGAGTGACAATCAGGCTGACAGCAACAACCAGCCGAGCCGTCTTCGAGCGCTTTAGCCTTGACCTGAACCTCTTTTCCCGTTTTTATTCTCGACCGAGAGGTAATTTGGCTGTACGGCTGTACCCTTTAAGCCTTGTTTATGGCTGAGTTATTGTGTTCTCTTATCTGTTGATAATTAAGCCGTGGCCTTTGTTGAGAGGTGCTGAACTTTTTGGTGGTTATTATGCTGTTAAATGCCTTAGTCCAGAGGTGCTACTTTCAGTTTATAAGCCATTAAAGTGTGATGTTCGATTTCAAGAAAGGAATAGAGAAATGGGTACGGTTTTATGTGCTTTTGTCGGAATTGTTATGTGTATATTGATATATTGAGCATCATGAGATAATTATGTTGGATATGGAGTGTGTTTTTTTTAGATGCCTATCAAATCAGTTTATTTGGCTTAAACATGTGTTATGTGATTGAGAAAAAGAAGGAAGAAAGTGAGATAGTTTATATGTTTGTTTTGGACTTTTTATTTATGTGAGTGCTGAGCTCTTAAGTGAATTGTATTTGTGTGTATTTTTTTTTAATTGCTATTTTATGTGTTTAAAAAAAAAATTATTAGTATTGCTGCCTTGAATCTATGAGCTTAAAGGAGTTTTAGAATGTTAGAATTTAGCAGGTTTAATTTGGTTGAAATAAATAAGAATTGAGATTATTTCAAATTGTCGCCTTATGAGCTGAGTTGCTGCAGTATGTTATTATCTTGATATGGCTGAGTCTTAAATTTCAAATTTTAGGAACTCTGTAGTCATATGAAATGAATCAATGTGTTTTGGATAGATACGAAGTGTGCTATTGATAAATGCATTGGAATTATTGCTTTAAGAATTTCCATGCTTTTCTATTCCAATGTGAGAACTTATGTGTATTATAAGTTCGACTTATTGTTTTGGGGCTCTGATTTATTATTTTCGGTGTTGAGCCTTTTGATGCGGTTTAGTAATTGATGTGTGCTTTACCTGTTTGTGTGGCCTAATCAACCCAATCAAAACTTTTAATAATAATTAAATCCTTAATTTTTAGGTTTGAGGAGTCGAGCCATCGACCTACCGACTTGATTGTGTGCCTTTTCTACCGGATTACTAGGTGGGTTTAATGTAAATTTGTCTATGCTGTAAATGTTATTACTGTTTTAAATTTTTGGTATGATCCAGTATGCATGTGGAACATGTAGCCTTCGATGTGAGCTGTACCGGCCGTCGAACGGTTATCCCCGTATCTAAAGAACGTACCCATTGAGTAGTCTCCTTATTATTGTGAGCCGTAAGTCCTGGGTTAAATGTCCCTGTGCTGGACACATTTTGAGCCGTAAGTCCTGGGTTAAAGGTCCCTGTGCTGGACACATTTTGAGCCGTAAGTCCTGGGTTAAAGGTCCCTCTGCTGGACACATTTTGAGCTGTAAGTCCTGGGTTAAAGGTCCCTGTGCTGGACACATTTTGAGCCGTAAGACCTGGGTTAAAGGTCCCTGTGCTGGACAACCCCGTTGGTAAGACCAAGGTGAGGCCTTGGCTGGCGGGATACTCCTACTGGCTGGACACTCGTTGTAAGGCCTTAGATAAGGCGTTCGGTATATAATTCGGCAGTAGTCTATTCTATAGGTGTGCACATGAGTCTATTATTGATATGATTGATAGGAGATTGGGATAATTAATTGATTCTTATAAATGCTGAGACCATACCTTATTGATTATTGATTACTGTTTCATTATTGTGAACAATGATTAAAATAGCGCGCGGCGAGCCGAGGCGACAAGGCTCCAATTTGCCATGGCGTGAGGCGTGCGGCGAGGCGCCCGCCTTATGAAAGCGAGGCGAGCCATTACAAAAAAAAATAGAAATATATGTATAGTTGTATATGAGACATTTTTACCAAATTATGACACAATTATTTATGTAGATATAAATTATAATAGCTAATAAATATGCAATAAAACACCACACATTAAAATGAAAACAACAATAAATAAAGTATAAAAAAACTAACAAGTAGCATCTATATCCAACATGACCAATATAAAGCAAATAAACAACAATATTCATAGTTCCAAGTTCCAACTTCCAACAAAAGCAATACCAAAAGAAACAACTAAAATTAGTTTCACTTCCACAACAAATACTAGTCAAGGGAAAGTTCTTCGACCGCGGCGACATCATCATCCGACTTATATCCATCAACATCCTCTTCTTCCGCATCATCGTTGATCACATCATCATTCCATTCACAATCTTCATCTACAAGCCTAAATGATGAAGATGATACGTTATAAGCCGACTTCTTTCCGGTTGATCTAGTTCTGTTTCTCGGCTCCTCAACCCCGGCGGCCGTAGCAACGTCATCCCAAGTTAAATTCTCATTTTGAAACACATATTCTTCCTCTCTAGCACCCACCAACCATTCATTGCTTTCATCAATGTCTTTCAAGGCAATAGGATCAATTTTTCCCCGCATCAAGTACCGGCGTTGCAATGCCCTATTGTACTTGATAAACACCAAGTCATTAAGCCGATCATGATCCAATTTGTTTCTTTTCTTCGAATGAATCTATCAAAATAACAATTTCCACATTGTTATAAATTAATAATAATAAATAAATAATAGCAATATAAAAAATGGAGTGAATAAAAAACTTACGTGCTCAAAAACACTCCAACTCCTCTCACATCCGGACGAGCTACAAGTGAGGCTCAACACCTTGATAGCAAATTTTTGCAAATCGGGTGTATCAGAGCCATCCGCCCACCAATTTGCCGGTGTCCTTGTAGCTCTTTGCCTAACCGCCATAGGCAAACCAAAGAGACCCTCGGCATTCCGATATTTGTCCAAGTCATCACAAATTTGATCTTGTGTTGCAATACTTGGAACCAACCTTTGGATGGACTCGTACAAGCCTCTATAAATCTCCGAAGAAGCTCCACAACACCCCGGGTCTTTGTAGAAGAACTCCGGATTCAAGAAAAAACCCGCCGCATGCAAAGGTCGATGTAATTGAACATCCCACCTTCGATCAATAATATCATACACCTCTTGATACTTGCTTTGGACACCTTGAAATGCAGATGCAATGGCTTCCTTGGCCCTATCCATCGCCTCATAAATATATCCCATCGGGGGCTTTTCCTCACCATCTACAATCCGAAGCACACCAACAAGAGGAGAAGCAAATTTCAAAGCAATCGTCACATTGGTCCAAAAGGACGACATCATCATAATCTCGGCAACCTTCTTGCCTTGTTCCTCTTTCGCCCATTTGCTTTTAGTCCAATCGTCGGACACAAACATTTTTCGCAAATTAGCCTTGTGAACATGAAATTTTTGCAAAGTCAAAAATGCCGTTGCAAAACGAGTTTTTGCCGGCTTCACCAAATCTTTCTTTTGTGTAAAGTGCCGCATCATGTTCAACAAAGTGGGACGATTGTAGATGTAGCCCTCTCATATGTCCTTTGAAGATAAGGAATTTTGAAAATATCTTCTAACATCAAGTCGAGGCAATGTGCGGCACAAGGACTCCAATATAAATGTGGATACTTCCCCTCCAAGTAATGCCCGGCCAATTTGTTTGCCGCCGCACTATCGGTTACAATTTGAACCACATTTTCTTCTCCAATGGCTTCAATGTAAGTTTCCAACAAGTCTTGAATTCTCCTTGCATCCTTTGCATAGCTCGATGCATCAACGGAGTGAAGGAACACGGTGCCACGAGGAGAGTTCACCAAAAAGTTTATCAAAGTCTGATTCCGCCGATCGGTCCACCCATCACACATCAATGTGCACCCGTATTGTGCTCTAGATAGCTCATGCTCTTTCATCATCTTCATCACGTGCTCTTTCTCATTCTTAAGCAACGGGCCTCTTACTTGATAGTACGTCGGCGGCGGCAACCCGGAACCATAATTTCCAACAGCCTCAATCATAGGCCCAAAAGCCGGACAATTGACCACATTAAGAGGGACCGCGGCTTCATATAGAAACCTTGCAATCTTTTCATAAGCTCTCTTCCTCAACTCTTCTCGATAGGGCGAATTCTCATCTATTCTTGGTTGCTTTCCTTTGCTCTTTCGATTTTCCACGGCAACTTCGGCATCGGGTGTAAAATAGCAATCAATAGCCCCTTTTGCTTTTGGCCTCTTCAATTGAAATTGAGTTTTCTTCATGTTGAAACCTTGAGTGGATGCGGAGGAGGATAGATTCTTTGGAGTTGGAGCCTTCATGGGAACAATTTCTTCTTCTTCGACATCATAATCATCCAAATCAACCGCTTCATCAATGTCCACTACCCATCTTCTATGCTCCGTTTGTTTCTTTTTCATTTCCATGTATTCTTTTACTTCTACACGAACTTCCGCCGGGCATTTTGAACATCGTAAGACATTTGGAAAGCCTCCAACCCAATGTTGCTTCATTCTTGAGACTCTGCCTTTGTACGTGATCCCACAATAATTGCAAGTAAATGCATGTATATTTGTGGGATCCCTCTTCGAATACTTCCAAGCAATGTCTTTTTTACTATTGTCCTCCATATTCATATCTACAAAAAAAGTTAAAATTTATAAAAACATAAGTACAAGAACCAATTATTTAACATTAAAAATAATTTAAATTAAAATAAAAAGTATGTTGAAATAAGCATGATTAGCTCCACTATGATCCCAATTAAAATAAGGTCAACCCCACCACATGATACCAAAAATTTCAATTAAAATATACTATAAATAATAATGCATAGGTCCCCCATAGATAAATATAAAAATAAAAAAATAAATATGTTACAAAACTTTAACTAAGGTCCGCACTCCCCACTGTTAGAATAAAATAAACATGATAAATAGAATAAAAAATGTTAAAACCTTAAAGAAGGTTCCAGGCCACTTTGATTCATCATAAATTAATAAAAAAATAAATTTTCATCACTTTAACAGTGGTGCGGTGCGGGAGACAGGGCAAAAGAAAAATCACTTTGTACATAATTTGATGAAAACTTTCCACATGAGGTTCAAAGCGAGACTCGACAAGCAGCCCATTGAGAATCAAATATCGGTTCTATCACAGTAATGACTGTGGGGGCAAGCCGGCAGCGACGTTTCATCTAAAAAAGAAAAAGAAAAAGGAAGCAAACAAAGAACAATATTTACCTCTCGCCGTCGCCATAGCCGTCGCCGTCGCCGGTGGGCTGCTGAAAGTTGGTCGCCGTCACAGTTGGAAGAGAAGCCCCAAGGTAATTTTATGTTTGCGTAAGTAATTGTGGTTAATTAGAGATGTTTTATCTCGTAACCCTAATTAAGAAAATACTTCTTTACCCTGACTCGCCTCAAACTTATAAGGCGTCGCCTCGATCTATGTAGCGCTACAGCCGAGGCGACGCCATGGCGACGCCTTTGCAAACCCCGCCTCGCCTCAGACCCTTGAGGCGACAAGGTCCCGCCTCGCCTCGCCTCGCGCCATGGCGACGCCATGGCGCGCTATTTTAATCACTGATTGTGAATAATGTTTACTGCATAGTGGTGAGCACTACTTTTTCCAACTGTGCTCATCCCCACCTGAAATTCACGTTTCAGGTTAAGCGAGGCAGGTACGACGGCAGAGTAGAGCGAGTGGTGGTCGGTCTATAAGACCGGTCTTATTATTTGTTAAGCTTCCGCATTTATGAACTGGTTTATATGATTATGAACTTGGAGTATTATTGCATTTAAGATTTTCGGAATATATGAATGAATAATGTTAAGGAGATGCTCCTTAGAATTTACGAATATTGTTGGAACCCAGTTTGGGTGATTTATGAATTTTGGAAAAACCCGTTTTGGGAGTTAGCAATATTGTTGATGATTGAGTTTGATGATTGATTGCGTATTGGGAAATTGGTTAAGTATTGAAGTTCGTGTTGAATATGAGTAGCGCCTCAGATATTTTGAAATAAATTTAAAAAAAAAAAATTTATTCTGATTTTCGGCAAATAAAAGTGGGGCGTTACAGTTTGGTATCAGAGTCAGTCTGCGTTTCTGTAGACTGGTATGCACGAATTATGTGAACTCTGAGAAATAATTGAATATTATGATATAGTTATGACCACTCGCTCCCGTCGTGCCTCGCCAACTCAGGTATGAATACTTGAGTAATATTAAAATTGTTTATGTGAAGTATTATGATATTATGAGATGTGAACCGGAGTTTTAGAATTTATCCTCCTACTTTTAAACGTTATGGAACTCTAGATGAGTGGCGAACCTTAGTTGTATGAACTTGAACTCTAGCGATATGGAGTTAAGTTCTAACTTGAGATTTTGTTTGTTTAGAAATTGGATATGGTGTTATCGAGCTGAGTTCTGTGTATAACAGTCCTCTCGATGTATTTTGGTGTCTTCGGAAGAGGACCATTCGCGAGCCATCTCGAAAGGAGAAGGCTTAAACGAAGGGAGCAGACAACCGAAGAAGTCCCAAGTGTGGAATATTCGGGGGTCTGTAACCATGGTTATTAAGACCATTGGATGTGTATTTGATCCCTAGTCAAGTGCGAGCTGGAGTAGAGTCTGGGTGCCTTGTGCATACTTAATGTCCGACCCCGTTGAGTGTTAGGGAAATTTAATGCGTAACACTGTCGCGACTCTCGGGAGTGGCTATACCTCGAGAAAGACGATAGTGACCTATTCATTTGCGAAATTCTCTCAGCGAAGGAATCTGACCTTGTTCTTAAGGCGGATAGACCAATCCGGCACCGCGTGTATATTTTATTCCGCAATTTTGAGTGACATTCCTGTCTTGAAGGAGACGTCAAGAAAATTCTCTTCCGTATTTCGAGTCACGAGCGATTTCCAGAGCCAGCGGGACTTACCAGGAGCAACTTGAACAGATGATGAAAACAGTGAATCGTGGACTCGTGAAGGCGAAGCAGTCGTGCTCCCTTTCTTAAATTCTTGTCTTCTTGTATACTCTTGCAAACCTTTATCCCTTTCACATGGCAAACAATTTTGAATGTGTGATTGAGGCTTCTTTTTGTTATCCAAATTTCGTATTTTGAGGATTTCGCTTGATCTTCCCCTATTTTTAATTCGTGGTGTAAACTATTTTAAGCTTCCCAACATTAAAATTCACTTCTCTTGAAGTTTAGCTAATTCTGGTTTATCTTGTGTTGGGAATTGACCTTGTTTTGAAAAACCTGAATTTCAAGTGAGATTGAGCATCTCTTGGTTTCTGCTTACCTTTATTCTCTTGCGAAGTGTGAGAGTTTCGTTCGAATGCCATCGCTAAAAAATCACGACGACTCGAGGGCAAGATTTTTCTATCGTCACTTTGTGAATAACCTAACCTTGAGGGGGACAATAATTATTCACGCTCGGCATCAAGATAAATGCACAGGAACTGAAGCTAGCACAATTTGGTTGGATAAGAAGATGGAGTGTTTTCTACCTTTAAAGATTATGCAGAAGCCTTTTAAGGAGGATAGACGAGACAGAAACAAGCACATCGCGTAGTGCAGACCCGTCCTTATTCAAAATCTTGTTCATCGTAAAAATTTTTTGTTCTTTTCCTCCTTTTGGAATCCCGGGAGGAACTTCGCGTTCAAATTCCTAAGTGTGAAGATTGAGAAGTGAGTTGCGCTCGTCTAGGACTGCTGACACGATCAGCTGCCAGATGAAGAGCTGACGTGTTGGCCGACGCTGTTAGTCGGAAGAGTCGAGGCGAGCTAGTTATTGTATCTCTCGGCAGGAGCTGCTGATTGGAGATTATTCCCGACTGAATAACTGTATTAGAATTTCATTGAGAATTCTAGTCTATCTCAATCGTTGATCTCTTCACGTATTAGAATGTGTCGTTGGGAAAGGAAGTGGACTTGGAACTCGGACTTTTCTATTTTCGGAAACCCTTGAACTTTGAAATTGTGGAATACCTGAAATATATGTTGTTTTGTTGACTCCAAAATTTTTGAAATTTGGTAAGACCATTCCTTTTTGGTGGTCTTGAATTGTAATTTCTTGTGAAAACATGGACCAAACCCCGACCCTGGATGGGTGTAGCCACGCGAAGTGGTGGCCGAGCACGCACGACCGTGCTGAGAGACGGGAGGCTTGCGCGCGGCCGACCGTTGACTCGCATGCGAATTGCAATCGCCATCACTGTACGCACGAACTCCCCAGGCCAGCGTATACGACCAACCATCGTTGTTTTTACTGAACTGTTGAAATCGTTTCATGCTGGAATACTTGGTTATCCATTTGAACCCCTTTTGTTCGGACCTTGAACTGAGAGCTCCAAGTTCCACTAAAATGTGTATAATCCTTAATCAATGATTTCTGATTAAGGAGTGTAGTCGATGAGTCCCTATGCTTTACTTGAGAGTTTCTCGAGTCGGCAAATTGGGAATGTCGTGTTGCTTTGGGTCAAACCTTATGTTTGTGCATAAGGGTTGCGTTCGACTCGTGAAGTCGATATCATGAGAATGTGAGCTCGTTGGTGTCATGTTTTATATAGGTGGTACTGTGTTGTTGTCTCGGATGGAGACACATGGTCTGTGATGGAATCGTGAGCAAGTTATCAATGTGACTCGGACACGAGACTGAAACTTGGCGTCACGTGTCCACCTTGATGGAGAGGTAGTCGGAATACGCTGACAATACACCGAACGACCTGTCGAGGTATTGTGTGTTGTTAGGTACAAAGCAAGTCGTTGATACTCATGAGTATAGGCTAAACCGAACTGGGTCCATTGCAAGAAGATGTACGCCTGAGCTCGGGCAGGACTGATCACCCTCCCAAGCAAGAAGGTAAACATATGAGCATAGGGCGAGTCGGATTGGTTCCTGTATGTTAGTGTATGCCTTTTTGTAAAAAGACGATAGGACTCATGGGAACGGAATCGAGTTCCAGAGAATGATGCCGGACCTCGTGATTGAAATTCCTGTACGAGTCTATCGCTTCATTTTGGTGTGTGTTCTTTCGCATTTCCGAGGACGGAAATATTTTAAGGAGGATAGATTGTAATGCCCCGTTTGATTATTGAATTTTTAAGAATTATTTATTATTATTATTGTTATTATTATTATTATTATTATTATTATTATTATTTATCTTTATTTGTTATTATTATTATTATTTGAATGCTAAATATTATTAAATGTCTAAAATGATTTATTTGTCAACTTGCGATTAAATGTCTAATTGTCTAAATGATATTTATTTGCCAAATTGTAATTAAATACTTAAATGTTATTATTATCTATTTAAATGTATATTTGTATTTTTATTTATATTAATATTTTTAAATTAAATTGTGTGTATTTTAAATAATATCCGGGTTATTTATTTTTATCGTGCGAATTAATTTTGGGAACCGATTTAATTTTTTGTCTAGTCGGGCCCGAGAGCCGAATCGTTCCTTGAACTAGCCCCGAACCGGTGCCCCGAACCCGGGCCAGACCCGTTTTCCCAGCCTTGCACGTGTGTGTTATATTGTGTAACAAGATTAGTTAACCATAATCTAATTATTTGTCTTATAATTATCTCGCTCAAGCATAGCACCAGCAGCTTTTCTCCTCATTCACGCCAGAACAGAGAAGTTCTCTTCTCTCTCAAATCGGTTCCCTCATCTTGCAAATAAAACCTCACTTCCATCAATCATCGCCCTCATCTCCTTCCCCCTTGAATTGGTCGCGCTTGTCATCTTCTCGCGAGCAAATCCGACACCCTTCACAGATCGCCCAAATCCCTCCTCGACACCCCTCTTCATCTCGCTCGCAAATTGGACCTATCAGCCACCATCGCCGGCCATCCCCGCACCCTTGTCGTGGAGAGCCCTTATCGACGGCGTCCCTGCACCCCCGTCTGTCACCGCGAACAATTCCTCCGGCGAGACGAGTTACGTTCGCGGCTGGAATAAAATAACCGGCTCAATTGTTCGTGGCTGAGAAATCCCCGGTGATGCTGAGCAGCGATTTTAGGTGACGAGGGCCGGCCTGTTCACCACTAGGTTTCGGCGAATTTTCGGTGCATTTGGCGAGATCCCGGTGAGGGAGTTCCGTTCTTCGATTGAAGAAGCCACTGACAGTGACCTTGCGGCAGAGGCAGGCAAAGATGGTGAGCCAGGGCCACCCGATTTTCTTGCAGATATGACCACCGACGGGCCGCGACCTCTGCACCTGCACCACCCGACGATCCCTCTTCCACCAGCGACCTTCTGTTCAGCTGCCGTCGCTCGAGCCACCCCGACAGACCCCAGCCACGAGCCTTCTGGTCAGCCGCGAGCCTCAATCGAGCCCCGTCGAGGAAGCCGCGATCTGGAACCTTGCCGATGAGATCCACGCACGTCATGCTGAGCCGCCTCTCAGCCGGCACGCACTCCGGCAGCCGCGAACCACCGCTGCAACGCCTCGCCGGTTCCATCGGGCTCCGGAGCCGAACGAGTGACAATCAGGCTGAGAGCAACAACAGCCGAGCCGTCTTCGAGCGCTTTAGCCTTGACCTGAACCTCTTTCCCCGTTTTTATTCTCGACGAGAGGTAATTTGGCTGTACGGCTGTACCCTTTAAGCCTTGTTTATGGCTGAGTTATTGTGTTCTCTTATGTGTTGATAATTAAGCCGTGGCCTTTGTTGAGAGGTGCTGAACTTTTTGGTGGTTATTATGCTGTTAAATGCCTTAGTCCAGAGGTGCTACTTTCAGTTTATAAGCTATTAAAGTGTGATGTTCGATTTCAAGAAAGGAATAGAGAAATGGGTACGGTTTTATGTGCTTTTGCGGAATTGTTATGTGTATATTGATATATTGAGCATCATGAGATAATTATGTTGGATATGGAGTGTGTTTTTTTTTAGATGCCTATCAAATCAGTTTATTTGGCTTAAACATGTGTTATGTGATTGAGAAAAAGAAGGAAGAAAGTGAGATAGTTTATATGTTTGTTTTGGACCTTTTATTTATGTGAGTGCTGAGCTCTTAAGTGAATTGTATTTGTGTGTATTTTTTTTTAATTGCTATTTTATGTGTTTAAAAAAACAATATTAGTATTGCTGCCTTGAATCTATGAGCTTAAAGGAGTTTTAGAATGTTAGAATTTAGCAGGTTTAATTTGGTTGAAATAAAGAAGAATTGAGATTATTTCAAATTGTCGCCTTATGAGATGAGTTGCTGCAGTATGTTATTATCTTGATATGGCTGAATCTTAAATTTCAAATTTTAGGAACTCTGTAGTCATATGAAATGAATCAATGTGTTTTGGATAGATACGAAGTGTGCTATTGATAAATGCATTGGAATTATTGCTTTAAGAATTTCCCTGCTTTTCTATTCCAATGTGAGAACTTATGTGTATTATAAGTTCGACTTATTGTTTTGGGGCTCTGATTTGTTATTTTCGGTGTTGAGCCTTTTGATGCGGTTTAGTAGTTGATGTGTGCTTTACCTGTTTGTGTGGCCTAATCAACCCAATCAAAACTTTTAATAATAATTAAATCCTTAATTTTTAGGTTTGAGGAGTCGAGCCCTCGACCTACCGACTTGATTGTGTGCCTTTTCTACCGGATTACCAGGTGGGTTTAATGTAAATTTGTCTATGCTGTAAATGTTATTACTGTTTTAAATTTTTGGTATGATCAAGTATGCATGTGGAACATGTAGCCTTCGATGTGAGCCGTACCGGCCGTCGAACGGTTATCCCCGTATCTATAGAACGTACCCATTGGGTAGTCTCCTTATTATTGTGAGCCGTAAGTCCTGGGTTAAAGCTCCCTGTGCTGGACACATTTTGAGCAGTAAGTCTTGGGTTAAAGGTCCCTGTGCTGGACACATTTTGAGCCGTAAGTCCTGGGTTAAAGGTCCTTGTGCTGGACACATTTTGAGCCGTAAGTCCTGGGTTAAAGGTCCCTGTGCTGGACACATTTTGAGCCGTAAGTCCTGGGTTAAAGGTCCCTGTGCTGGACACATTTTGAGCCGTAAGACCTGGGTTAAAGGTCCCTGTGCTGGACAACCCCGTTGGTAAGACCAAGGTGAGGCCTTGGCTGGCGGGATACTCCTACTGGCCGGACACTCGTTGTAAGGCCTTAGATAAGGCGTTCGGTATATAGTTCGGCAGTAGTCTATTGCTATAGGTGTGCACATGAGTCTATTATTGATATGATTGATAGGAGATTGGGATAATTAATTGATTTTTATAAATGCTGAGACCATACCTTATTGATTATTGATTACTGTTTCATTATTGTGAATAATGTTTACTGCATAGTGGTGAGCACTACTTTTTCCAACTGTGCTCATCCCCACCTGAAATTCACGTTTCAGGTTAAGCGAGGCAGGTACGACGGCGGAGTAGAGCGAGTGGTGGTCGGTCTATAAGACCGGTCTTATTATTTGTTAAGCTTCCGCATTTATGAACTGGTTTATATGATTATGAACTTGGAGTATTATTGCATTTAAGATTTTCGGAATATATGAATGAATAATGTTAAGGAGATGCTCCTTAGAATTTACGAATATTGTTGGAACCCAGTTTGGGTGATTTATGAATTTCGGAAAAACCCGTTTTGGGAGTTAGCAATATTGTTGATGATTGAGTTTGATGATTGATTGCGTATTGGGAAATTGGTTAAGCATTGAAGTTCGTGTTGAATATGAGTAGCGCCTCAGATATTTTGAAATAAATTTTTTTAAAAAAAATAAAATTTATTCTGATTTTCGGCAAATAAAAGTGGGCGTTACAGTTTGGTATCAGAGCCAGTCTGCGTTTCTGTAGACTGGTATGCACGAATTATGTGAACTCTGAGAAATAATTGAATATTATGATATAGTTATGACCACTCGCTCCCGTCGTGCCTCGCCAACTCAGGTATGAATACTTGAGTAATATTAAAATTGTTTATGTGAAGTATTATGATATTATGAGATGTAAACCGGGGTTTTAGAATTTATCCTCCTACTTTTAAACGTTATGGAACTCTAGATGAGTGGCGAACCTTAGTTGTATGAACTTGAACTCTAGCGATATAGAGTTAAGTTCTAACTTGAGATTTTGCTTGTTTAGAAATTGGATATGGTGTTATCGAGCTGAGTTCTGTGTATAACAGTCCTCTCGATGTATTTTGGTGTCTTCGGAAGAGGACCATTCGCGAGCCATCTCGAAAGGAGAAGGCTTAAACGAAGGGAGCAGACAACCGAAAAAGTCCCAAGTGTGGAGTATTCGGGGGTCTGTAATAATGTTTATTAAGACCATTGGATGTGTATTTGATCCCTAGTCAAGTGCGAGCTGGAGTAGAGTCTGGGTGCCTTGTGCATACTTAATGTCCGACCCCGATGAGTGTTAGGGAAATTTAATGCGTAACACTGTCGCGACTCTCGGGAGTGGCTATACCTCGAGAAAGACGATAGTGACCTATTCATTTGCGAAATTCTCTCAGCGAAGGAATCCGACCTTGTTCTTAAGGCGGATAGACCGATCCGGCACCGCGTGTATATTTTATTCTGCAATTTTGAGTGACATTCCTGTCTTGAAGGAGACGTCAAGAAAATTCTCTTCCGTATTTCGAGTCACGAGCGATTTCCAGAGCCAGCGGGACTTACCAGGAGCAACTTGAACATATGATGAAAACAGTGAATCGTGGACTCGTGAAGGCGAAGCAGTCGTGCTCCCTTTCTTAAATTCTTGTCTTCTTGTATACTCTTGCAAACCTTTATCCCTTTCACATGGCAAACAATTTTGAATGTGTGATTGAGGCTTCTTTTTGTTATCCAAATTTCGTATTTTGAGGATTTCGCTTGATCTTCCCCTATTTTTAATTCGTGGTGTAAACTATTTTAAGCTTCCCAACATTAAAATTCACTTCTCTTGAAGTTTAGCTAATTATGGTTTATCTTGTGTTGAGAATTGACCTTGTTTTGAAAAACCTGAATTTCAAGTGAGATTGAGCATCTCTTGGTTTCTGCTTACCTTTATTCTCTTGCGAAGTGTGAGAGTTTCGTTCGAATGCCATCGCTAAAAAATCACGACGACTCGAGGGCAAGATTTTTCTATCGTCACTTTGTGAATAACCTAACCTTGAGGGGGACAATAATTATTCACGCTCGGCATCAAGATAAATGCACAGGAACTGAAGCTAGCACAATTCGGTTGGATAAGAAGATGGAGTGTTTTCTACCTTTAAAGATTATGCAGAAGCCTTTTAAGGAGGATAGACGAGACAGAAACAAGCACATCGCGTAGTGCAGACCCGTCCTTATTCAAAATCTTGTTCATCGTAAAAATTTTTTGTTCTTTTCCTCCTTTTGGAATCCCGGGAGGAACTTCGCGTTCAAATTCCTAAGTGTGAAGATTGAGAAGTGAGTTGCGCTCGTCTAGGACTGCTGACACGATCAGCTGCCAGATGAAGAGCTGACGTGTTGGCCGACGCTGTTAGTCGGAAGAGTCGAGGCGAGCTAGTTATTGTATCTCTCGGCAGGAGCTGCTGATTGGAGATTATTCCCGACTGAATAACTGTATTAGAATTTCATTGAGAATTCTAGTCTATCTCAATCGTTGATCTCTTCGCGTATTAGAATGTGTCGTTGGGAAAGGAAGTGGACTTGGAACTCGGACTTTTCTATTTTCGGAAACCCTTGAACTTTGAAATTGTGGAATACCTGAAATATATGTTGTTTTGTTGACCCCAAAATTTTTGAAATTTGGTAAGACCATTCCTTTTTGGTAGTCTTGAATTGTAATTTCTTGTGAAAACATGGACCAAACCCCGACCCTGGATGGGTGTAGCCACGCGAAGTGGTGGCCGAGCACGCACGACCGTGCTGAGAGACGGGAGGCTTGCGCGCGGCCGACCGTTGACTCGCATGCAAATTGCAATCGCCATCACTGTACGCACGAACTCCCCAGGCCAGCGTATACGACCAACCATCGATGTTTTTACTGAACTGTTGAAATCGTTTCATGCTGGAATACTTGGTTATCCATTTGAACCCCTTTTGTTCGGACCTTGAACCGAGAGCTCCAAGTTCCACTAAAATGTGTATATTCCTTAATCAATGATTTCTGATTAAGGAGTGTAGTCGATGAGTCCCTATGCTTTACTTGAGAGTTTCTCGAGTCGGCAAATTGGGAATGTCGTGTTGCTTTGGGTCAAACCTTATGTTTGTGCATAAGGGTTGCGTTCGACTCGTGAAGTCGATATCATGAGAATGTGAGCTCGTTGGTGTCATGTTTTATATATGTGGTACTGTGTTGTTGTCTCGGATGGAGACACATGGTCTGTGATGGAATCGTGAGCAAGTTATCAATGTGACTCGGACACGAGACTGAAACTTGACGTCACGTGTCCACCTTGATGGAGAGGTAGTCGGAATACGCTGACAATACACCGAACGACCTGTCGAGGTCTTGTGTGTTGTTAGGTACAAAGCAAGTCGTTGATACTCATGAGTATAGGCTAAACCGAACTGGGTCCATTGCAAGAAGATGTACGCCTGAGCTCGGGCAGGACTGATCACCCTCCCAAGCAAGAAGGTAAACATATGAGCATAGGGCGAGTCGGATTGGTTCCTGTATGTGAGTGTATGCCTTTTTGTAAAAAGACGATAGGACTCATGGGAACGGAATCGAGTTCCGGAGAATGATGCCGGACCTCGTGATTGAAATTCCTGTACGAGTCTATCGCTTCATTTTGGTGTGTGTTCTTTCGCATTTCCGAGGACGGAAATATTTTAAGGAGGATAGATTGTAATGCCCCGTTTGATTATTGAATTTTTAAGAATTATTTATTATTATTATTATTATTATTTATCTTTATTTGTTATTATTATTATTATTTGAATGCTAAATATTATTAAATGTCTAAAATGATTTATTTGTCAACTTGCGATTAAATGTCTAATTGTCTAAATGATATTTATTTGCCAAATTGTAATTAAATACTTAAATGTTATTATTATCTATTTAAATGTATATTTGTATTTTTATTTATATTAATATTTTTAAATTAAATTGTGTGTATTTTAAATAATATCCGGGTTATTTATTTTTATCGTGCGAATTAATTTTGGGAACCGATTTAATTTTTTGTCTAGTCGGGCCCGAGAGCCGAATCGTTCCTTGAACTAGCCCCGAACCGGTGCCCCGAACCCGGGCCAGACCCGTTTTCCCAGCCTTGCACGTGTGTGTTATATTGTGTAACAAGATTAGTTAACCATAATCTAATTATTTGTCTTATAATTATCTCGCTCAAGCATAGCACCAGCAGCTTTTCTCCTCATTCACGCCAGAACAGAGAAGTTCTCTTCTCTCTCAAATCGGTTCCCTCATCTTGCAAATAAAACCTCACTTCCATCAATCATCGCCCTCATCTCCTTCCCCCTTGAATTGGTCGCGCTTGTCATCTTCTCGCGAGCAAATCCGACACCCTTCACAGATCGCCCAAATCCCTCCTCGACACCCCTCTTCATCTCGCTCGCAAATTGGACCTATCAGCCACCATCGCCGGCCATCCCCGCACCCTTGTCGTGGAGAGCCCTTATCGACGGCGTCCCTGCACCCCCGTCTGTCACCGCGAACAATTCCTCCGGCGAGACGAGTTACGTTCGCGGCTGGAATAAAATAACCGGCTCAATTGTTCGTGGCTGAGAAATCCCCGGTGATGCTGAGCAGCGATTTTAGGTGACGAGGGCCGGCCTGTTCACCACTAGGTTTCGGCGAATTTTCGGTGCATTTGGCGAGATCCCGGTGAGGGAGTTCCGTTCTTCGATTGAAGAAGCCACTGACAGCGACCTTGCGGCAGAGGCAGGCAAAGATGGTGAGCCAGGGCCACCCGATTTTCTTACAGATATGACCACCGACGGGCCGCGACCTCTGCACCTGCACCACCCGACGATCCCTCTTCCACCAGCGACCTTCTGTTCAGCTGCCGTCGCTCGAGCCACCCCGACAGACCCCAGCCACGAGCCTTCTGGTCAGCCGCGAGCCTCAATCGAGCCCCGTCGAGGAAGCCGCGATCTGGAACCTTGCCGATGAGATCCACGCACGTCATGCTGAGCCGCCTCTCAGCCGGCACGCACTCCGGCAGCCGCGAACCACCGCTGCAACGCCTCGCCGGTTCCATCGGGCTCCGGAGCCGAACGAGTGACAATCAGGCTGAGAGCAACAACAGCCGAGCCGTCTTCGAGCGCTTTAGCCTTGACCTGAACCTCTTTCCCCGTTTTTATTCTCGACGAGAGGTAATTTGGCTGTACGGCTGTACCCTTTAAGCCTTGTTTATGGCTGAGTTATTGTGTTCTCTTATGTGTTGATAATTAAGCCGTGGCCTTTGTTGAGAGGTGCTGAACTTTTTGGTGGTTATTATGCTGTTAAATGCCTTAGTCCAGAGGTGCTACTTTCAGTTTATAAGCCATTAAAGTGTGATGTTCGATTTCAAGAAAGGAATAGAGAAATGGGTACGGTTTTATGTGCTTTTGCGGAATTGTTATGTGTATATTGATATATTGAGCATCATGAGATAATTATGTTGGATATGGAGTGTGTTTTTTTTTAGATGCCTATCAAATCAGTTTATTTGGCTTAAACATGTGTTATGTGATTGAGAAAAAGAAGGAAGAAAGTGAGATAGTTTATATGTTTGTTTTGGACCTTTTATTTATGTGAGTGCTGAGCTCTTAAGTGAATTGTATTTGTGTGTATTTTTTTTTAATTGCTATTTTATGTGTTTAAAAAAACAATATTAGTATTGCTGCCTTGAATCTATGAGCTTAAAGGAGTTTTAGAATGTTAGAATTTAGCAGGTTTAATTTGGTTGAAATAAAGAAGAATTGAGATTATTTCAAATTGTCGCCTTATGAGATGAGTTGCTGCAGTATGTTATTATCTTGATATGGCTGAATCTTAAATTTCAAATTTTAGGAACTCTGTAGTCATATGAAATGAATCAATGTGTTTTGGATAGATACGAAGTGTGCTATTGATAAATGCATTGGAATTATTGCTTTAAGAATTTCCCTGCTTTTCTATTCCAATGTGAGAACTTATGTGTATTATAAGTTCGACTTATTGTTTTGGGGCTCTGATTTGTTATTTTCGGTGTTGAGCCTTTTGATGCGGTTTAGTAGTTGATGTGTGCTTTACCTGTTTGTGTGGCCTAATCAACCCAATCAAAACTTTTAATAATAATTAAATCCTTAATTTTTAGGTTTGAGGAGTCGAGCCCTCGACCTACCGACTTGATTGTGTGCCTTTTCTACCGTATTACCAGGTGGGTTTAATGTAAAATTGTCTATGCTGTAAATGTTATTACTGTTTTAAATTTTTGGTATGATCAAGTATGCATGTGGAACATGTAGCCTTCGATGTGAGCTGTACCGGCCGTCGAACGGTTATCCCCGTATCTATAGAACGTACCCATTGGGTAGTCTCCTTATTATTGTGAGCCGTAAGTCCTGGGTTAAAGGTCCCTGTGCTGGACACATTTTGAGCCGTAAGTCCTGGGTTAAAGGTCCCTGTGCTGGACACATTTTGAGCCGTAAGTCCTGGGTTAAAGGTCCCTGTGCTGGACACATTTTGAGCCGTAAGTCCTGGGTTAAAGGTCCCTGTGCTGGACACATTTTGAGCCGTAAGTCCTGGGTTAAAGGTCCCTGTGCTGGACACATTTTGAGCCGTAAGTCCTGGGTTAAAGGTCCCTGTGCTGGACACATTTTGAGCCGTAAGTCCTGGGTTAAAGGTCCCTGTGCTGGACACATTTTGAGCCGTAAGTCCTGGGTTAAAGGTCCCTGTGCTGGACACATTTTGAGCCGTAAGTCCTGGGTTAAAGGTCCCTGTGCTGGACACATTTTGAGCCGTAAGTCCTGGGTTAAAGGTCCCTGTGCTGGACACATTTTGAGCCGTAAGTCCTGGGTTAAAGGTCCCTGTGCTGGACACATTTTGAGCCGTAAGTCCTGGGTTTAAGGTCCCTGTGCTGGACACATTTTGAGCCGTAAGACCTGGGTTAAAGGTCCCTGTGCTGTACAACCCCGTTGGTAAGACCAAGGTGAGGCCTTGGCTGGCGGGATACTCCTACTGGCCGGACACTCGTTGTAAGGCCTTAGATAAGGCGTTCGGTATATAGTTCGGCAGTAGTCTATTGCTATAGGTGTGCACATGAGTCTATTATTGATATGATTGATAGGAGATTGGGATAATTAATTGATTTTTATAAATGCTGAGACCATACCTTATTGATTATTGATTACTGTTTCATTATTGTGAATAATGTTTACTGCATAGTGGTGAGCACTACTTTTTCCAACTGTGCTCATCCCCACCTGAAATTCACGTTTCAGGTTAAGCGAGGCAGGTACGACGGCGGAGTAGAGCGAGTGGTGGTCGGTCTATAAGACCGGTCTTATTATTTGTTAAGCTTCCGCATTTATGAACTGGTTTATATGATTATGAACTTGGAGTATTATTGCATTTAAGATTTTCGGAATATATGAATGAATAATGTTAAGGAGATGCTCCTTAGAATTTACGAATATTGTTGGAACCCAGTTTGGGTGATTTATGAATTTTGGAAAAACCCGTTTTGGGAGTTAGCAATATTGTTGATGATTGAGTTTGATGATTGATTGCGTATTGGGAAATTGGTTAAGTATTGAAGTTCGTGTTGAATATGAGTAGCGCCTCAGATATTTTGAAATAAATTTTAAAAAAAAAATTATTCTAATTTTCGGCAAATAAAAGTGGGGCGTTACACTATGCATACATTATTTATGGTTATGGATCTTTATACGAAATATACTGTGCGGTAATGGTGAGTATGATGGTTGTACTCACCCCCATTTACTTTTCTGTCCTCTTGTTCCTCTTCCTATCCTTTTAGGTTGGGCATGGTTGGCGGCGGCAGCGAGAGACGATCGAGTGGTGGTCGTTGGATTGTGTGTTACTTGCATCTGTTTTTATTATATCGATAGATCATTTGTTTAACTTTGAATAATGATGCTTTCGCTTTAATTATTTTGGACATGTTGGTTAGACCTTGGATTTTCCGTTGAAGTATTTAATTATGCATTACTGGGTTTGAGGATTATGAATAATTGAAATTTTATTTTGAACGGTTAAATTTTATCTGTGTAAATGTGTAATTGTTTTAGTTGTTTAAGTAACGCCCGTTGAGTGTTAAAGTTTTAATTGGGATTTTGCGAAAAATAAACTGATTTTTATAAATAAATTCGGTAAATTCTTTAAGATAAAACGGGGCGTTACAGTATGGTATCAGAGCTAGTCTGCGTTTCTGTAGACTATCTCTAATGTTGGTGTGTTTAATGACCCTTCGACCACTCGCTTTCGTCTCGCCGCGCCAACTCTAGGTATGAGTTTTGGTTGTTTTATTTATTATGTGGCTTAGGACTATCCACCTTTGTTATAATTTGAATTCTAGTGTTTGGTGATGACCCTAGAAATTTTCTCTCTATGAGTTTCGAGTTAGCACCTTGTGCGATCTATCTCGTCGATAGATGAGATTAGCGTTTGTGCACCATAACTTTCTGGTGACCAACGTCAGGATGCCTTATCGAGATTAGACACCGAGAGATCTCGAATGTACGGGATCTTTCGAATGTCTGGGGCAGTTGACAATTGGACCAGAAGAGGCATGGTGGAATCCGATCATTGGAGTGTGAGGATTGGAACTTAGTGCTTCGGATGTGTTGTCATTCAAAGCCAAGAGTTTTGATGATCGATTAAGCATTGCTAACGTGATTCTCGAGGATGGCGAAATCTCGAGGAAAGCGATGGCTACTCTTATTGCGTGGAGTATGAGCGTTGACCGCGAAAGCTGACAGTTTGACGGAATGACTTCGTAAACTCAAGTGGATCTAGCATACTGTATACGCAGAGTCCTATTTCAGCTATTCCGTTATACTTCGCTATGCTGACTACTGGCATTGAGGTCAGAAGAGGATCGTGTCGTTTCATCTCAAGTACGAATGAAGGAAATTGGCGATCTACTCAAGATAGGATCAACGATGGACGAATGTGGTTGAACCCTCACGGGGATGAACTCTTCTGCCCGACAGTTGGTCAATACAGAGGTAGAATTCCGTGTATATGCTCTCGATTAAGACGAGGATAAACTGAGGAAGAGTGGACAACTTACCGGAAAAATCGAGACCTTGTGTTGTCTATTAATCTTTCTGTTTTCCGTGTTTTATCTTTTAAGCTGTTGTGCAATTCCTGTATTTGATAATTAGAACTAACTTTGTTTAGAGACTTTATGTACAAAGAAGAATAAGCATATTTGTTTCATGCTAAACCTTATTTGTCGCAAGGTTTGTGATTTTTGTTTGCGATAACTCCGAGTCCGTGCACTCGAGAAAGCAAAGGTCGGCACAAGCCACTATGGTATCTTGGCCTGGAGACCAGCGATGGTCATTTATCTTGTTGTGATTAAATCGTATGACGCATCGGAAACAGTTTTCTCCGATCGGGAGTCGTCGACTAATTCAAGGAAGGTATCTTACCTTAAAGGATTATGAAGGATCTTTTAAGGTGGGTAGTCGAGCCTGGAGCATGTGCATTGTGAAGCGTAGAGCCGCTTGTATTCTCGAACTTGCGTTTTGTTGTAAACTTTGACGAGTTTCCGTTCTTTTGTTTCTTTTGATCATCGGGAGAAATCTTGTACTTCCTTGGACTTTTGCAAAACCTTTGAAAACCCTTGTCTTTGTTTTCTTGTTCGCTTGGAGTTTCGAGATCAAGTTTTACGACCTAATGTACCCATTTAAGAAGAGTGTTTCCAACATTCTACTTGTCTTATATCTTTCTTTTAGTTGGGTTTGGATATTCCATTCATCCGAACCAATTAATTGTTATCGTTATCGAGGACGAATTGGACCATTCCCGAGGAGTACCAATCATCTGGGTGCATCTAGGCATAGTTCGGAGGATCAACAAAGAAGGCCACCAGACGAGCAAGGCGAGTTGCAACCAACCTGAAAACTGGAGGAGTCAATCTGTTTCATGGCAGAGAATGTTGCACATCGACAACCGTAAACCTAACCGATGAAGGATGATCCACCGCTATCGTGAGGTGAAGACCTGTTCAATCAACTGAGGGCAACTGCAAAATCATTAAAAACTGATTCAAGGCCGATGTACCGTCAGCCAAAGATCGAGGAGTGGACGTATCAAAACGGACTCTGGAACCCGACGAGAATATTTGCAGTCGAATAGTGATTCTTTTCGTGCTTATGGCGACTGCGACAAAATGTCTGGTTGTAATTCTGCAGCGACGACATAGTCTATCTCTAAGAACGCCGAGACGTAGCGGAAATACCCGAAGACGTGATCGAGGTCTTTTCGATGAAAGAAACCTCTCGCCTAAACCTCGAGGTGCAAACTCTGGGCAATGCAGGTGAGTGGAACTCGTTCAGGACTGCTGGCACGATTAGCTACCGAAGGAAGAGCTGACGTGACGGCCGATGCTGTTTATCGGAAGAGCCGAAGTGAGCTAACTAGTTGGTGTCTCAGAGGGAGCTGCTGACCTAGTACCATTCTCGACTGGAGAGCCGCATTCGATTTCCTTTGAAGATTTTTGCCTCTCTAGCGTTCGATCTGTCTGCGTGTTAGAGTGTGTTGTTGGAATAAGGTAGTGGACTTGGAACTCGGTTCTATGCCCTGTTATTTTTGAGACGTTGAAACTTTTGAATTCATGAAAAAAAAAAGCTTGTTTACAATGAACTCCATTTGTACACATTTTGTGGAAAACCCTTCTCTTGCTATTGTCTTAGCCTATGTGAAATCTCAGAAAAACCATGGATTAAATTTTCTTGTCAAAACCTTGAACCGAAAGCCGACCCTAACTGGGTGTTGCCACGAAGTAGTGGTCAAGCGTGTATGCCCGTGCTGATAGACGATAGGCTTACGCGCAGCCGATCGTCGACTCACACGCAAGCTGCAACTGCCATCACCGGACACACGGAACTTCCACGCCAGCGTGATCGGCCAAACCTTGACCTTGCAGCTGGTCTCTAAACAGGTGCACGTAAGCGTCCTGGCGCCCCGCATATGCAGCGGCTGCGAGCGTGTCGCCTCTCGGAGGACAGTGCATTAAAAATTCAACCGTCCATTTTATTTTTCTTCTTTTAAGACGGTTTGGCCACCGAGAGTTCCAAGTTCCACCGAACCGCGTTTGCATCCTTGATCGATGGTTTTGATAAGGAAGCGTAATCAATAGGTTCTTATGCATCTGCGAGGATTTCTCGAGATGGCAAGATAGGGGACTTGTGTTGCCTGCAAACGGAGCCATGGAGGGCTACGTTTGTGTCGTAGAAAGGTGTGATGTAAGTATTAGTATAGCCGGGCTATACTGCGTGCATGGTTGTACAGTTTCCGTGACAATTGCTTCGGCAAGAAGTCACATGTGTGTCGAGATTGTGGGTAAGTTTTCGGTGTGACCCGGGCACCATGCTGAAACTTAACTCCACGTGTCGACCACGATTATTTGACCAATGATCTCATGGTCGAGGCACTATGAGACCTGTTGAGGTTGTGTGTGCATGTTGTGTGTTGCGTTTTGCGACTTCTCACCATGGGTGGGCCGTTTCGTGTTTTTGTGTATCGAACGGGTGTCTGAACGATACCATTCGAGTTTTCCCTTTTCGTATGGCTAGAGGTGTGGTATACCTTGGCTTCGGGTAAGTGAGGGTCCGCTGTCGTGTGTGGTTAATCCTTTGAGATCCTTGCACAAGTCGGTGACTCGGCTTATCGGCTAGCTTTACCACCGAATTTGTCAGGGGTGCATGACGTGCTTTATGTCTCGATGTTGCGTAGATATATTCATGACCCGGACCACGGGGTGGACTTCGGCGAACTGCGGGTCGAGCGAGACCTTACCTATGAGGAGGTACCGGTGGCCAGTTTGGACCGGGGTGTCCATCGGCTGAGGAACCGGGCAGTAAGCTTTGGGAAGATGCTGTGGAGCCGACATGACGAGTCCGAGACGACTTGAGGGAATGAGGCTGAAATTAGTAGGAGATTTCCCTACCTTCTCGTTTTGGAGACCTTTGTATTCTTTTAGATCGTTAGTTTTCTTTTGTCTTCGAATTTCGAGGTCGAAATTCCTTTTAAGGTGGGTAGATTGTAGCGCCCCGTTTGTTCCGCAATTAATTGGAGATTTTATTATTATTTTATTTTATTTTATTCCGAAATTATTTATTCGAGCTCGATAATTCTATTTCGATTATGTGCTCATAATTGTTAATTGTATAAATTTTAATATGAGTCGAATAATATTATTATTTTATTAAACTGCCAGAGTGAAATAATTACTTGATGATGTATTTATTAGTGTACGCTAATAAATATATATTATGTCGGTTTGAAAAGATTTACGAGTCGTCATATTTTATTTTTCCGAGCGTTATGTATACTAGTACAGAGCCCGTGCGATGCACGGGGTGCACAATTTTAAGACTATTTTTCCAGACTTATAATTATATACATGAATAAAGAAAAATGTACGGAATATATATAGTACGTGACCCGCGAGATATATTTATTTGGAGAATATTATATTATAAGATGCAATATTCAATAAAAGTTTATAATACGCAAGAAATTGTACGATGTTCAATAAAAATTTTATAATATTCAAGTGGAGTCTTAAAGTCTCTTGTACATTAAGACTACTGACAAAATAATATTTTAATCAATGAGTTTCATTTCCTTGTAGCCAAATTGTGAATGTGATTTGAGGAGTACAACAAATCGATATATAGCTGACTTGTTTTTTTCATTGTAGTTTTTTTTTTCTTTTTTTTTATAATGAATTTAAAGATATTCTAAAATATAGCAAAAATTAATTTTTTTATTACAATTAGGAATTTTACTAAATATAAACTCTCAATCTATGGTGTTAATCAACTTTTAAGTCTAAAAAATTTAGGAATTTTTACCTCTTTTAATCAACGTTTAAGTCTAAAAAACAATAGAGTTATTATAAGTTTTTTTTCTACATCTTTTAAAACAATAAATATGAGCATGTTAGAGGTAGCTTGTAAAATAATTAATATATTATCTCACTAAAACATTTATACTAATAGAAATTTAATTTTAGCATATAAATTTATTCCTTGATATAAGAGAAAGTAACAGTTTTACTTATTGTTGTTCATCATAAAATATTTAATTATTATTTTATTATATAATAAAAAAGAAATATTGTTAAATAGTGTAGTAGAATTGTTATAAAATTATATGAACTTTTTTTTTTAAAATATGGATTTAATATTTTTTATGATTTGATAATATAAACAAATCTATACTTAACTTTGACAAATAAAACAAATAAATACTTTAGTAAGTATTTAATGTATATACTAAATAGGAATATATTTGGTATAATCAAATACCAAATATAATCAAATAAGTCAAAGTGTACATTTTTATTTGGTATTTAATTTTTTTATTATTAAAATCTTTTTATTATACTTACCTTTTTAAAATAAAACAAATAAATATTTAATTAAATAAATAAAATATTATAATACCAAAATAGTAATGACATTTAATGCAGTTGACTTTTCTGGATAATAAATGTAGTAAATAGAATATCCTTTTATATAATATAATACGGAAATAGTAATGCAATAAATGCTGTTGACTTTTCTGGCTACTTAATTTGGTAAATAGTATCCCCTTTAATATAAGTATAGATTCGGAATTTATGAAATTGAGTCCGATAAACCAATAGTCGAAACCAACCGATTCGTAAACCGTTGTTTACGAATTAATGGGGATTTATTATTATTATTATTATTATTATTATTATTATTATTATTATTATTATTATTATTATTATTATTGAATGATTAAATATTATTGTTGCCCAACTGTATTTAATTTCCTAATTGTATAATTTAATTATTAATATTATTATTTTAAAATAATGTATGTATTAAATAAATATTACTCGGTTGTTATTTTATTTTATCGCGCGATTAAAACCGAGCCCGAGAGTTGGATTATTTTTGGCGAAACCCGTATAGATCGGCCCGTGAGCCAAAACCCGGTTTACTAATTTTGTACGTGAGTAGGAAGGTTCTTGGAAATCAAGAAAAGTCAACACATTATTCATATATAGATACAATTTTTGTATGTATCTCTCCTCACATGAACACAACATCTTGATCTGAGAATCACTCCAACATGTTTTTCCTCCTCTTGAATCTGATCTTGATCCATTTATACTCGCTCACTCTCTTCCTCTCTCGTCAATCTCACCCTCAGCCAATCTCTCTCTCACTGATCGTCCTCGCACCATCATCATCTCCCTCATTTTTCTGCAAAAACCCGATCACCTCTCATCTCGTCACCCTCCTTGCAGCCCCGATCGCTTTCACCGTCGCGAGCTGCAGCGACCTTTCTCGCGACTCTGTTTTCCAACGAGCCTCTGCAACCTCCGGCGCCATCACCATCTTCATCCGTCATCACCATCGAAGCTCCCATTTCCGACGAGTTCCGGCATCAACAACGAGAGTCCCGCAGCGCCCACACCGGCGAGCTTCCGACGTGCAGAACCACCAGCAGCCCCGAGCCGCCGCGCCTCAGTCGCCCCTCTTCTCGCCGCTGCAACTTCTGGCGCCAGCAAACTAACAGCCATCGATCCCTTCGGCGAGCCTTCGCCAAACCCACAGACGTTCCCCCGTCGAACCGAGCCGTCGTTCGGCCCGTTTTTCCTCCGTTAGTTCGTGAATTTTCGAAAGCGGGTAACTTATTCGAACCCTCTCGTGATTCCGGTCGTGTTCGTATATTCGAATGGTTTACCGTCTCGTATATGTCGGTTCGTTTATCGTGTTATGCTCGTGATCTTGTTAAACCGAATATCATGTTGTTGCTGTGTTGAACCTAAATGTGCTCGTTTATTTTCTATCGAGAAAGTCATATTAATCGTGGTCGAGCTTAGAACATTCGTCATATGAGTTCATTGTTATTTCATGTGAAATTGCATTTCTGCTGTTCTGTTGTGCCGTCGTTTAGGCCATCAGAAACCTGTTCTTTGAAAATGTGGTCTTCATATGAAATGTAGTACGTTCGGTTTTCTAAACCTGGGCTTTGGAATTTCTCGATTCCGAGCTATATCGATAAAGTTATGATTTTTACAAAAATGTTGCGCGTTCAGTTTTCCTGCTACCCGGCAGCATATCTGTAATTAATGTGTGACCTGTTTATCATGTTGTAATGTACTCGTATGAACTTACACTCTTCATGGAAGTTATAGATATATTTCTTGCCTTTCAAATGAGATAGATTTCTTGTCGATACGTGCTCTGTAGCTCGAGTTATGATTTTATGAAGACAGATATGCATGAGTTAGGAATTATCCTGTTGGCAGAAATATGGATCGGAATGTTAACAGCTGTTTGACCATTCAAATGAGCTCATATGTTTCTGTGTTCTAAATGAAAGTTGTAGACAAATTCCTAAGGTTTAATTTGAGAATTAAACCATATTATTTTGAGGTCTGTAGCTCAAGATAAATGTTAAAAACTGAGGTGTTGTCCATGTTCATTATACTTGTTTTGACAGATTTACTGAATCACATGTCTTGTGTTTAAACTCGTGGTTAATGTGATTATTTGCCAATATGATCTTCAGCAAAGTTGTAGACATTTGAATTATCTATCATGTGGTTTTTGAAATTCATTAAAAGCATGACTGTAGCTCCAGTGAAATAGACATTACTGAAGTCTGGTCAAGTGTATTTTTCCAGTTTTGGACTGTGACTCAAATTTTGATGTTTGTTGGATTATCACCGGTTAAATGACCTCATTTTCCTGCAGTGTCTTCATATGAATTGTATATTTATCTCTTAGGATTCCAATGCAACTTGATTGATGTTCATACGAGTTGTGTGCTGAAAGTTATGTCGATTTTAAAAACGCTGCCCGGGTTAACTTTTTCAAAACTTATGTGATATTTTATGAAATGTGTCTTCCTTGATCTAATGCATGCTTGAATGCTTACGTGGACTTAGTTGAACTAAGTAAATTGTTGAATAGTCTTTGATAAGGCTATTTTAATAAATGTAGGTATTTGACGAGTCGCCGACTACTATTCTTGTGTGTTTGACTCGATCGCTACCTGGTGGGTTCATTTATGTTGAATCTACATTTATCGCACTTGTTATTTCATATAAATGTTTGTCGCGATAGCTTCTGTATGCGTGAGAACCCTAGTCTAAGTGTCCTGACGGTAGTGCCTTTGACGAATGCATAATCAGTGGAAGTCACCTGCCCGTCGTATCTGGGAGGTGGGCGCCCGAATCCGTGTAGAGCGGAGGGGATTGTCTGAACGCCCGAATCCGTGTAGAGCGGAGGGGTATTTCAACTTCACTGTCTCCTGGATAATATCCTATGCCCGTTGCATCCGGGGTGGGAGTGCTTCCAGTTACATCCTTGCCGATGTCTGGTCGGAAGGTTTGTTGTATGTACATAGGAGGTTTGCGATAGGGCCTAATAGGGAGTTAGATCTGGATTCTATGCATACATTATTTATGGTTATGGATCTTTATGCGAAATATACTGTGCGGTATTGGTGAGTATGATGGTTGTACTCACCCCCATTTACTTTTCTGTCCTCTTGTTCCTCTTCCTATGCTTTCAGGTTGGGCATGGTTGGCGGCGGCAGCGAGAGACGATCGAGTGGTGGTCGTTGGATTGTGTGTTACTTGCATCTGTTTTTATTATATCGATAGATCATTTGTTTTTAACTTTGAATAATGATGCTTCCGCTTTAATTATTTTGGACATGTTGGTTAGACCTTGGATTTTCCGTTGAAGTATTTAATTATGCATGACTGGGTTTGAGGATTATGAATAATTGAAATTTTATTTTGAACGGTTAAATTTTATCTGTGTAAATGTGTAATTGTTTTAGTTGTTTAAGTAACGCCCGTTGAGTGTTAAAGTTTTAATTGGGATTTTGCGAAAAATAAACTCTGATTTTTATAAATAAATTCGGTAAATTCTTTAAAATAAAACGGGGCGTTACAATTATTATCCTAGCCTTGAAAATCTTGATAGTCAAGATTTTCAAACCCATTCAAACCCTCAGTTTCCAATTGATCTCAGTCACGAAAATATCCAGTCCCCAAACACAAGTACTTCACATACTCCCAATGTTTGGACAAATCAAGAAGATCTGGCACTCATGTATGCTTGGGTTACCGTAAGTCAGAATGCTGCTATCGGCACGAACCAAAATAGTCAGACATTTTGGAAAAGTATCTCGGAAATGTATGAGGAAGCTCGTGCGGACAACTCAAAGTTTATGGGACAACAAAGAACCATTGAATCGCTAAGGAATCGTTATAGGAGGTTGAACACAAATGTAACCAAGTGGTTGGGCGCCTACAGAGAAGCATATGCTCAAAAAAGTAGTGGTATAGTTGATGCAGATGTTGAAACGATAGCTCAAAAATTTTACAGCGACGAAAAAGGTACGAAGTTTACGCATCATGAAGTTTTTGAAAAGATTATGCGTCATTATCCAAAGTGGGAATTGAAATTGGGTGTTGAGCGTCATCGTACTCGCATTATTCGAGAATATGCTGGCGGTGATGATGTTGAAGAAGATCGTGAAAGCTCCAAAAGATCAAGAACTACCGGAGGAGATGAGGACCCAAACGATGAAATCCAAGTTAGTGAAACTTCAACAATTCGTCGTCCTACTGGTAGAGACAAGGCGAAAGGAAAAAGGAAAGGAAAAGCCACTGCATCACAACCCCCAGTTGTTCCTGATGACTACACTGAAGCACTTAATGCAATAAGGATCACACGTGAGAAAGAAATTGAAGCAATTAACAAAGATTGGAGAAATTAAGATGCAAAAATTAGCCTTGAACACGCTCAACAACAAAATGAATATGCTCAACACTTTGATGGGTAAAAGCAACCTGTCTCCTCAAGAAGCTGTCAAAAACCGCCTTATGCAGGAATTATTCCCATGATGGTTTAGTTGGTATGATTGTGCTCTTTTTTATGTAATCATCTATTTAATGTAATCGTCTGTTTATGTAATTGTCTAGCCAATGTAATTTTATTTTATGAAATTGTCTGTTTATGTAATTGCCTATTTAATGTAATCGTTATGGTTTTATTTTATTTAATCGTCTATTTATGAAATTGTCTATTTAATGTAATCGATGTGGTTATATTTTATATCGCCTTATTTTAAATCAAATCAAATAAAATAATTATATAATAATATAAAATCAAAGCAAATAAAATAATTATCAAATAAAATAATTATATAATTAAATCAAAGCAAATAAAAGAATTAATTAATAATTAAAATAAAATGAAATAAAAAAATATATAATAATTAAATAAAATCAAATTAAGAAAAAAAAAAGGTTTAAAACTTTTTGCCATCCGAACTATGACGATTTTGGCGCATCACCATATCAACTATTTTTTTTTTACAAACCACCACCTGAACTATACGGGTTTGTCAAATTGCCCCCTACACCGGATAAAAAAATGGTTTTAACTAAAAAAGGCTGATTTTTAAGGGCATTTTGAGAAATTCATATATTTTTTCAAAAAAAAAAAAAATGAAGAATGAAAAATCCCTAATTGCGAAGGAAATTCAGACCCTGCACAAAAAATCCCTAATTGCGTTGGAAATTCAGACCCTGCGGAGGAGCCGGTCGGTCGCTAGGCTGGTCGCGATGTGGTCGTCAGATACTCGAACGTGGGTTCAGCGGCCCGCGGTGGAAGAAAGAGGGTCGCCGGCGGCTTCTGTGCGTGGACAGGCTTCACCGGGAGGAGTGTCGACTGCTCGCGGGGAGGAGGACTCGCCGGTGGACGTCTGCGAGTGGCCAGCGAATGGCGGAGGGTGGCTCGCCGCTACGTTCCTGCGCGTGACTGAGGACGGCGACGGTGATCTAGCGAGGAAGAAGGGCTCATCGCTAGATGCTGTGCGAACAGGGGAGCAGCGGAAGTTGGTCGCCGGTTGCTGCTGATCGCGGTCGAGGGCTCGCGGCAAGGAGACGGCTCGGCTTCTCGACGCGTGAAGGAGGAAGACGATGATGATGTGATGGCCGGACTTTACGAGAGGAAAAAGGACGAGATTTTTTTCTTTCTTTTTTGTTCTGCGTGAGATCGAGGGAGTGAGGGTGGCGATCGGATTTTGGGCGAGAGAGAGAAAGGAGACGATTTTTCTGAGTTAATTGAGCGAGATCCGATTGATGAAGAAAAGGGGTATTTTTCTTTTTTATTTTCCCTGTGTGCAGCAATAAGAAATCGCTATTTGTTCTTCATTTTTTTCATTTTTCTTTTTTTTTTAAATATATGAAATTCCTGTAATATCCTTAAAAATCAGCTTTTTATAGTGAAAACCACTTTTTTATCTGGTTTAGGGGGCAATTTGACAAACTCGTATAGTTCAGGTGGTGGTTTGTAAAAAAAAGTAGTTGATATGGTGATGCGCCAAAATCGTCATAGTTCGGATGGAAAAAAGTTTTAAACCAAAAAAAAAAATGTTGTGGTTGAATGTTGGTGTGGTTGCTGATAAACTTGCAAAAATGAGATGGTGTGGTTGGGATGATTATTGATGATGTGGAAGAGAGAGAAATTAATTAAATATTAGGGTGGTTGGATGGTTGGATGGTTGGGTGTTTGGAACGGTTGTTGTTATTCGTAGTCTAAGTAGGCGGGCGCTCCTAATGTCCGAAATGCGCTTGTCCGTGATCGGCTTTAAGGTCCTGCGTGATGTTTATCTGGAAGACCCGTTCTTCAGACCGATTTTGAGTCGTTTACGTGATGGTCCTTATGAGGATTACACCCTGTCTGATGGTTTCTTGTTTCACAGAGTTCGTTTGTGTGTGCCGGATTGTAGTCTTCGGCAGAAGCTCATCGGCGACCTTCATGGTACGGGCCACGTGGGACGCAACCGGTCTGTGGAGTTGGTGAGCCGGTCCTATTTTTTGCCGTCTTTGCGCCGTGATGTGGGGCTCTTTGTGGCTCGTTGTCGCATTTGTCAAGTCCCGAAGGGGGTCACGACTAACGCAGGCTTGTATCGGCCCTTACCGATCCCGTCCCAACCGTGGCAGGCTATTAGTATGGACTTCGTGTTGGGTCTGCCACATACGGGGCTTTGATTCTATTTTCATTGTGGTGGATCGTTTTTCGAAGATGGTGCACTTCATTCCATGCAAGCTCACCACTGATGTTGTTCACGTCGCCCAGTTGTTCTTTAGAGATGTCTATCGTTTACATGGCTTGCCTTCTGCTATTGTGTCCGATCGTGACTCCCGCTTTTTGAGCTATTTTTGGCGGAGTTTATGGCGTATGGCTGACACACGTCTCGACTTCAGCACTGCATACCACCCTCAAACGGACGGTCAGACTGAGGTGGTGAACTGATCGCTTGGGAACCTACTTGTAGCGCCCCGTTTTATTTTAAAGAATTTATCGAATTTATTTAAATAAAAATCAGAGTTTTTTTTAATCCAAATTAAAAACATTTAACGAGAACCGGGCGCTACTTATTAATAACAACAAACAACACAACCAATCATTCAAAGAACCTACACCTGCTCGAGCTATCAAAATAACCAATCCCATGAAAGAACATAAGTCTAAAAATCATTCTCAATCGTCTAGCATAAATCAAGGTTCAAACGTAACTCAAACATAGTTCAAAAGAGAAGAAATAAATAATCCAAATCGACGGAAGCATTAACAATCCAAAACAAAAGCAAGTAGTTTAACATAAATAAAATCAAGCGGAAGCAAAGACACATCCAGTAAATGACCACCATCTCGCTCGTCTTTACGCCACCGCCTCCAGCTCGTCTCAACCTAAAGCAAAGGAAGAGAAGACACAACAAAGAAAAATAATGGGGGTGAGCATAACCAACAAGCTCACCATTATCGCACAGTTTATCTCGCATAACATTTTAAACCATCAAACCATAGTATTCAGTATGCATAGAATCCAACAGTCTAACTCCCTACTTGGCCCTATCGCAAACCTCCTATGTACATAAAACAACCTTCCGATCACACACGGCAAGGAAGTAACTGGAAACCTTCCCATCACCGAATGGCTACGGGCCTGGGATCCTTTCCAGGAGATAGTAGAGATGTTTTTCCCCTTCACGAATATCATACGGACCGGGGCGTCACCTCTCCGAATCTACGGGCCGATGACCTCTCACTGATTATGCATTCCTCAAAGGCACTAAAATACGGGACACTTAGACTAGGGTTCTCACGCATACATCAATTTTCAAACAAAGCATTTATACGAAATATTAAGTGCGATAAATATGGAATACATCATAAATGTACCCACCTGATTGCAGCAACAGTTCAAAGTCACAAATCTCGAAATGAGGCGAGGTCAACACCTCTAGACACCTACATTAAGCCCAGATACTAAAGTCAACACTTTAATCTAGACCCATATAGAAAATTCACAAATTGACTTAGCCGAACTTAGTTCGACCAAGTGGTTCGTGAAGTTCTGTGGATATGGGAACACTAGGACTTAGACTCGATCAAACCACATATTCAAGCTCAGATAAAAGCAAGTGAAAGACAAATAAAACGGGCCACAAGTAAACACATGGCACATTTGGTCAACAACACTTAACAAATTTCAATATAGAAAACAATTTCCAAAATTCACACTTGAATTAGAAGGTATATCAAATCAACGAGTTAGGTTCTGAAAATTTTACATAAAATTCACCTCCCAGTTATAAGATAAATAGCCAAGTTTCAGCTTCCAACTCATTGTACATAATTTAATAAAATTCAAACAAGTTTTTCAACAAAAGCAAGTTTAAATTAAAGACACATGATAATGGACGATTCAGGCCATGAAATTTTTATCTAAAATACTACAGCATATGTCCAGAAACACATAAAAATACCAGCCTTTAACTCTCAGTATATGAATTTATAAAATTAAAACAACATTCAGCCAAATATCAAATTTATATCAAAACTGATTACAACTGAGCTTAAAAAATTCTATACTTTTTACAGCATGCTACACATCACAAAATCAGCACCTCCACAAATATTCAGAATTTTTCAGTTTTAGAGCAATTTATTATAATTAAAACAAATTCAGGAAGAAACACCAATTAAATCATTAACCCTATCAAACCTAGTCTAAATATCCTAAAACTTTTATAAAACACATAAATATACCAGAGACATGTCATACTCGAAATTCAGCCAAAATGGAGCACCACAAAATTATTTATGCATTTTACAAGAAACTGAACATAAATCAAATTAATTTTTAAAAATAGCTAAAGACCTTTAAAAATCACGAAAATTTTACACCGGCTACATATTCATCAACAACAGTTGCACCTAACGTTTCAAGGCAATCGGACTAGTATTCAATTTATAATGAGTTTCACATTCAAAACAGCCATTTAAATCTTCGAAAAATCATAACGGCAAATGTACACCTCCAATCGACACAAGGTTAGCGCCATCGAAATAATCCTAAGTTCCTAAATCCATAGCAACTCATCACTTATTTTCAGTTCTCGCTCGATTCGTACGAATCGACGAGTTTGACATAAAATCACGACAATATAATATGACGAACGATAATATCACATAAAATCACATCGCTCCTCAATTCCATAAAGTATGATAACAACACCTAAACACATAAATCACGAACAACACGACATTTAATTGCTGAATAAATAGACGAAGAGTCGAGACTCGATACCGTTCTCGGGAATCGGGCGAGAAGGGTTCGAACGGCTCGACGGTGAACTTCGTCTCGCGAAAGAAGGGAGCTCGTCGCTGAGGTGCTGCTGCTAGGTCGCCGCTGCAAGGTCGCCGCCGGCATGTGCTGCTCGTCGGGGCTGAACGGAGAGGTCACCGGAAGAGGAGCTCGCTGGTTCGTCGCCGGGAAGCTGTGCGTGGAGGAAGGCCGACGGTGTTGCTGCTCGACGAGGCTGCTCGACAGGAGCTTCGCGACAAAGATCACAGACAGAAGAGGTCTCGACGTCGGAAGTTCGTGGTCTGCTTGAGCTCGTCGGAAAAACGCGAACAGGGGCTGCCGGAAAAGCTTGAGTGTCGGCGTTGATGGTGATGACGGGCTGAGCACGAAGATGATGATGAAGGACTGAGCGTGATGATGGACGGAGGACGATGGTGATCGTTGGGAAAACAGAAACCGAAAGAAAGGAGAAGGGAGATGGAGACGATGATGGAGATCGTTGCCGGTCAAAACTGAAACGTTTGGGGCGAGAGAAAGAAGATGAGATGAGATGCGATCGAAAGAAAAAAAAAAAAAAAATCTGTGGAGAAAGCTGCGTGAGATGAGAACCGAGATGGAGAAATATATATGTACTCTTAGGTTAAAAACATAAGTCTTGCTGCCCAAGACATTTATTCCCACACGTACACATGGTTTAGGGCCGGTTTTGGCTTGGGCCAAATGGGTTTTGGGCCGGTTTGCGACATCAAATCGGCTCACGGACTCGATTTCGGTTCAAACGCATATTCTGGGGATCAATATAAAATCAAACGCACGATAAAATAAGCCGAATAATAAATATATTTTACATATATATTAATACATATTTACACATTTATAAATAATAAAAAGAAATCATTTAGACAATTATCAATTAATCACATTTGGGCAAACAATAATATCACATAAATAATAATAATAAATCATAATCATAATATAATAATAATAACATTAATAAAAATACAAATAATATTCTCAAATAATCCATAAATAAACCACAAATAAATGGAGCATTACACTGCTACGTTGTTTAGTGGGCGATAACATCCAGGGGTGGGACCAGCACCTGAGCCACGCTGAGTTCGCCCACAATTTGGTGTTGATTCAGGCCACGGGCTTCTTACCCTTCCAGGTCGTGTACGCCGTGCAGCCGCGAGGCCCGTCGGACTTGGGGGCGTTGCCCCCGACAGGAGTGTCGATTGTCAGGCTTCGGACCTCATTCAAGAGTTGCAGTCCATGCATGCCGCGGCACGGGCGCGTTTGGAAGAGACGACGACGTCTTATAAAAGGCAGCCAGATGCTCGTCGTCGGCATGTCGAGTTCGAGGTAAGTTATTTCGTTTTGCCGGTTTTGACGAAAGACAGGTTTTCCCCTCATGATTATAATAAACTGTCTGCACGGAAGATTGGCCCGGTTGAGGTGGTTGAGAAGATCAACCCCAATGCTTATCGTCTCCACCTGCCGTCCCATATTCGCACGTCTGACGTCTTTAACGTCAAGCACTTGGTGCCGTTCGTTGGGGATAATTCGGACGGAGACGAGATCGGTTTGGATTCACGGCCGAATCCTTCCCAACCGGGGGAGGATGATGGAGACGAGACCGTGATAGCGTTTTTTAATAAATTTGATCGCCTTCGTATCTAGTTTATTTATTTTTCATTATTAGTAGTCTTTCATTTAGATGGTGTTATTATTAGTTTTCGGAATTTTAATAATTATTATTAGTTTTTTATTAGTAGTTAGGGCATNCACATAACATCAAATCAAGATGTTTTGTCCATGGCATTGGCTCGTTTGTCTTTTGCTTCGAGGCCCCATTTGTAATTTACTTTTTCACAAGAAAATGTTACTTTAAAAAACAACAAATATCACCGAACAAAACGTTGAGCAGCATTATTGGTTATATGACATTATTTATTGTCCATGGAAATAGAATTATTACATGAGCAAATCATGATGCTTGGTCAAGATGGGCTGCTGCTCATTAATACTTGGTCCCCACTGGAAAATGACGTTTCACCTAATCAATCATTCACAATTTCACATTTCATCTGAAGCCTTCTCCGTCTTCTCCACACGTCTTTGAGATAATTTTTCCTGCTCTCACTTCTCTTCATAAAATTTTCCAAACTAACGGTAATATTGCATTTCACTTCACCAAAGGGGAGCAATGACAGCTTATGGAGCTCTGCTTTCTCTTACAAACACCATAGACCAAATCCAAAATCACCCTCGCCCACCCATTTCCCTCGACAAACTAAAAATCAAACCACTTATCCAAATGGTTGCTTTCTTGATGCAATTTCTTGAAAACTATATTATTGATGATGCAGATGGCTTGGAGGGGCGTATGATTGATGCGGCTCACGAGGTAGAGGACATTATCGAGTCCTATATTGTTGATCATATCGAGCCTCGTGGGAAAGCTAACATCAATTCGAACGACAAAGATGACTCTTTGTATGGAGAGCTACAGAAAGTGATGTCCGACTTTGATTCCATAACAAAAGATGTGGCTGCTGTTAAAGACAAGGCGGGGAAAAAAATTGCTCCTTCTTCCACGGAGGATGACGCCATGCTCGGTTCCGATGATGTCATGAACAACATCATGAAGAAGCTGAACAAAAGTCCTTATTCGGAGGGAGACGGCACAATGGTGGGTTCCGATTATGTCATGAACGACATCATGGATAAGCTGACCAGCCGACAATCTAGCCGTTGGATCATTGCGATTGCCGGCATGGGCGGCATTGGTAAGACCACTCTTGCAAAAAAAATTTACGAAAATCAACTTATTGTGGAATACTTTGATATTCGTGGATGGGGTACAATCTCTCAAGAATTTGATTCGAAAAGGATTTTGTTAGAAGTCCTTCATTTTTTGAAAATCACAGGGGGTGAGGAAAGCGAACACGAATTAGGAGATATGCTGTATAAGAGTTTATTTGGGCGACGGTATCTGATTGTGATGGATGATATTTGGGGTACGGACGCGTGGGATAGGGTGAAACCCTTCTTTCCGAATAACAACAACGGGAGCAAAGTACTAATAACCACTAGGCCATCGAAACTGGCTATGCAACTGGATGGCCCAGACTACTTTCAAATGCCTTTTCTTAAGGTGGACGAAAGTTGGAATCTGCTAAGTAGGTTTGTGTTTCACGAACAAGGGTGCCCGCCGGAATTGGAAGAGATTGGGAAGGAGATTGCCAAGAAATGCAGAGGCCTTCCACTGTCAATTGTCGTGATCGGAGGACTCCTAGCAAAGTCTGAACAAACACGACAAAGCTGGCAGCATGTTTCAGAAAATTTAAGCTCGACCGTGAAGTTAAAGGAGGACGAGCGTTGCTTTAGAATACTAAAGTTAAGCTACAATGAACTGCCAGTCCATTTGAAGCCGTGTTTTCTTTACATGGGCATGTTCCCGGAGGACGACTGGATTCACGTCCCCATGCTCATCAGGCTATGGGTTGATGAAGGATTCGTGAAACCGGTGGCCGGTAAAAGTCTGGAAAAAGTTGCTAGAGTATTGTACCTAAACGATCTCATCCTCAGAAACCTAATCATGGTTCGTGCATGGGGCCCTACTCGAAGATTAAAACGATGTGGCATTCACGATCTTCTGAGAGACCTATGCATAAAGGAAGCCGAGAAATACAAATTATTCCGCACAATGGGAATAACAACTCACAACCATGACCACGAACAAAGCTGGCGCGCCCAACACCGTATCGGCATTCACCATGCTTTATCAGAGGGGGAATACATTCCTCGTCCCCTCCCTGAAGCTGTGCAATCCGCATCACGCGCGCGAACGCTGATATGGAGAGTTAATGGAAGCTTACCATCTATAGTTCCCTTTAGATTGCTAAGGATTCTGAATGGATACGATAGATTTTTGTTAGGTTACAATCAAACGGGCGAACTTCCGCTTGGAGAACTTTTTCATCCCATCAACTTGTGCCACCTACTCATCGTAGTTAATATGCCGAAGATTGAGTTTCCTCCAGAATTTTACCTACTCTGGAATTTACAGACGTTAATATTTTGTAAGAGCTCGAGTTACGATAATCGGCCGGTGCTGGACATCTGGCGGATGCCCCAACTCAGGCACGTCAAGTTAGCCCGTCTCCAGCTCACGGATTCTCCTCCTCCTCCTCCAATGGAAGTGTTCGAAAATGGTTGGATGGTGTTGGAGAAGCTAGAGACACTCAAGACAGTATTTAATTTGAGGTTGAGCGAAAAAGTGGTTGAGAGAATCCCCAATATCAAGAAGCTGGGAATAGTATACAACGAAGAGATGGAATTAGCAATGGCTGATTACAGTCTCGAAAATCTCTGTCGGCTACGCAAGCTTGAGGACCTTTCATGCATTATTGATTTGTACGGAAGTGAGCTGGCAAGGGACTCGTTGATGATCACGTTCCCGGTTTCGCTCAGGAAGTTGCATCTACAAAGCACGAGGCTCGGGTGGGAGGATATGGGGACAAAGATAGGTTCGTTGCCATATCTTGAGGAGCTCCAGATAAGGTATGATGCGTTTGTGGGGCCCGAGTGGGAAACAGCCGAGGGTGGATTCCCGAGCCTGAAATACTTGGAAATCCTATGGTGCTCTGATCTTGAACAGTGGAGGGTGGAGGCCACGCACTTCCCGCGCCTCGAGTGGCTCCAGCTAGTGTGTTTAGTCAAGCTAAAGGAGATCCCATTAGGAATTGGGGATATACCCACGCTTAGGGAGATCCATGTGCAGTGCTGTAGTGACTCTACCGTGCTTTCGGCAAAGAAGATATTAGAGGAACAACAAGAGTGTCTTGGGGAAGTTGAGCTTCAGATTACAGTTTAGATACTTACCGAAAATAGCCAACTATGAGGTGAGAGCTTGAGGAGTTGGAACTTCACAGTTAATCTAATTGGATTAAATGAGTAGTAAAGCTTCCTACTATAGTATTTAAAAGAAATAGTTAAACTTATAATGTGTGGGTGACTCTCCAAATGAAGCTTCAAACCATGATTATTTTTATAGGCATCATGACTGTTCAAGAGGCATTCGAACATCACATCAATTACTGTCTGTTTATAAGGTTTACATGTTTCAGAATTAATAAAAGCTTAGCACTAAACCTTATATCATCTTACACAATAACTACGGAAGCAATTGGTCTAATGTTAGACAAACCTAACGGTTATATAACTATGTAGTAACTCATGCTGAAATCGCGTTATCGTGTCAATTGAATAATGAGAGTAATGATCTATGCGATGTGATAATAATTTGCTCAAATTCTGCTCTTCTATATCTATATCTATATCTATATCTATACTACTCTAAAAGGACGAGTGTTTTTGTAAAATATGAACTACCTAAAAAATCTTTACTTTGGCATATTTTTAATGGCAAATTAGTAATACACTAATACACATCATATTTTATATTTTTAAATATAAAAATGAATTACCTAAAAAACCCTTACTTTGACATGTTTTTAATGGCAAATTAGTAATAAACTAATGTCCATCATATCTTATATTTTTAATTATAATTAATATTTAATTAATTAAATACAAATACATGCACAAATCATTCTACAGTCCTAAAATCAACTACAATATGTTGGTTTGGCACCATTATTTCTCACGAATTTGTTTTCTTCCACATATCTCTAAAACTGTTTGATAGGATATAGAATTGTTGTTTTGAAAAACGTCATTATTTTTAATATAATTTTAATGATAGTATTGTAATCACATTCATAACTCTAATATATAAAAGTTCTTTAAAGAAATTAAAATTGATCTAACAAAAAAGCATAATAAACACTTATAAAACTAGAAATCGATATTGTTTTTTCTCATAACAACCACAAAGTATAGAAACATTATTTTCAAAATAACCTATACAAAATGTGTAATAGTATGCGAGATTAATTGTTGAATGATTGTTCTGCAATCTAAACTTCTAATCAATTCAATTTCTTCAGTACAAAAGACCATAACAATTTTATGAAATTGTATAATACTAAAACTTAATCTATTTGTTTTCACGTCAAATGAGATACCACGTTAGCAACATGGATTAATTTTAACCATATAATTATCTACAAATTAATTAAACATATCTCGAGAATCATGATATGATTTAAATGTTAAAAATTAATTAATTTTAATCAAAAAATTATATTCATATATTATCATTACTCATCTATCTATTAATATGTGTTATTATAATAAAATGGATTTTAAGAAAAAATGTACGAAATAAAAAATTTATATATTTGACTATAAATGAGAAGATTATAATTATATATAATATAATATAAAGATGTAAAATTAATTGATATAAATAAGACATATGATTCAAAAAAGTGCTATACTTTAATTTTATGTATTTTTTAACAAACCTAAAAGTTATATATATACACACACATATATATTATAATACATATGAAAGAACAGTTTAAAGTTAAAAAAATAATAAATCTAATAAATAATATTAAATTTATAATTAAGTTGTAACACTTACTAATAACTATGAAAAAAGGTAATAAATAAAAATATTATAATTAGTAAAAGTAATTGTTGACCTTTTAAATTTGTACTTATCGATGTAAACGAGCCAAATTGTTCACCACATTTTAAACTTTTGCGCTTATTAGTTCAGTGTATAAATTTTAGACGATAGACAATAGTTATTTATACTATCCATGTAGGTTAGGAATTTATTTTTATTTTGTTAAAAAAAGCTTTGATAATTTTGATTTTAAATAACGTTTTATTTTCTTTAGTTTTTAATATAATATATAAATACCATATTATATATATACAATAATACTTTTTAATATTTGATATTTAATGTACATGAAATGTAACTCAATTGATAAGTTAATAGGTAGTCTTGCGATAAAATAATGAGTGATTTTTAAAAAGTATATGGATTAAAAAGTTCATGTGTTTAATATATTTTTAATAGAAAAATTATAAATACATCTAATTAATAACAAAAACTCCTACATAAAAAATATAATTTATAAAGGAATAAAAAAAATGGTACATTGCAATGAAAAATCCAACGGTAAGACATCCACTGAAAATATCAAATGATATTTTATTCGTATAGCTGTCATTGTAAAATTTTATTGACTATTCTAACAGAGATCAAATTACATTATATTGAAATTTCAGTGGATTTAATTAATCCAATTATCATTACTTATTATTGTGTGAATTTCCGTTTGAATTTTTTTCATGTCATATTTCAACAGTTGGAAAAATTCCACTGGAATAGTAAGAATTTCAATAAAAGTTATATTCAAAATTTACCTGCAGTGGTGGATACAACGGTAAGGTATTCTACAAAAAATTCCAACGAATATTACATAAATAATGCTTTTATTGGAAAATTTCATTGGCTATTCCAACAGAGTTCAAATTAAATTACATGAACTTTAGTGGATTTAAAGATTTCAATTACTTGAATTTCCATTAGAATTTCTTTTGGACCATATTTCAATCGCTGGAAAACTGTCATTGGAATTGTGCAAATATTCAATGAAAATTCCATTGGAAAGTTAATTGCAGTGATAGGTTCAAAATAATTTTATATTGGGGGCATTATTTAGTTAATAGAAAAAATATACCATCAAAATAACATGTCATTGCAATTTATAAATTATACTTTACATAATCTATCACCTTTCTCATTTGTAATACATTTTTATAAATCAATACACTCACAATAAGATAAAATATGTTTAAGAAACCAAAAGACATGATTTTTCTCAATTCAACTTAAGAAGATCGTTATATTCTTGTTGTAATTTTCGTTGGAATTTTTTCATTTTCTCGTAGTAAAAGTAAGACTCCAAATCTAAAAAAAAAAAAAAATAAAAATAAAAAAAATTGCATTATATATAATATTGTGTGCAACTATTATTATGAAAATTCTGTATGATAGAAAATATAACACATTCAATGTAATTGTCGTTTAATTTATGATAATAAGTAATTTTTGTTTCAAAACAAACAAGATACTTTGATAGGTCCTTAATTATTTTATTACTATTATAATAACTAAATAAGGGGTAAGAATGATGAGAAAACTTATGGTTCTCATTAAATCCAAGAGTAAAATTACTGATAAAGTTACTTTATGTACAATATCAATTGAAGCTGGCTAATGAGAAATATAAAACATATTTAAGATACACATATATTTTAATTTTAAAATACTTCATATTTTTTATTTGTTACTCTTTTTATATGTATTATATCACATCATTTCTTTTCAATAATGTTTGAGTTGACCAATATATTGCAAAATAAAATAAAAATAATATAATTATTTATATCGATATATTATATATATACACATATACATACATATATATATATATATATATCAGTACTAATTTAAAAATAATAAATTGACCTAAAATTATAGTACATATTAATTTTTTGTATTCAAGTTAAATCAATTTTATTAAGTATAAAATAACATAAGATAAACTTGTGGTATATTTTTCTTACATTTTTTTTTTCCCGAAACGACAGAGATGATTATTAATAAACAAAGCGGCGAACACCGTTCGAATTACAAACCGAAAGAAACGCAAATAAAACATGAGAGATACGCCATAGGCGATCTAAAGCCTAACCAATTACATCAACAAACTCAAACACCCAAACAAACCAACCGAAAACAAGAAAAGAATCCCCTACCACTGCATAAGCCTAGCCGAGGAAACTTTCCGAAAAACTATCTACAAAAGACAAAAACCAAACAGCAAACCAACAAAAGAAAAACTGCCTCGCTAACTAACTGCCGAGGAGAAATCTAGCCAATCTTTATGAGCCATTTTGACCAACACATGCTCCGGGATTAAAGTTTTCTGAAAAATCCAGAGATTCCTAGACTTCCATAGCCACCAAAGCAAATATGTAGAGAGTTGAATACGAGCTTCGGCTACTTCTGATCTGTCCAGAGCACAAACTTTGTACCACCAGTCATGAAAAGAGCCAGTCAACTTCCTGATCCCATCCCACTGAACAGGGCTTAATTCCCAGCATCTTCTTGCCCTTTGACACTTGAAAAATATATGCTCTAAAGATTCTGGATCAGCACCACACATAGAACAGATAGCATCCAAGTCCATACCCCTTTTGATCAAATTCATAGCAACAGGAAGAGAGTTGGACAGGCATTTCCACAAAAAAATTTTAATTCTACCTGCAATCTTGATTTTCCAGTATCTGATTTTGGTTTGAAGCATAATAGAAGAAGCTCTGCTACTTTCAGGGATGTCAGCCTTAGAAACTTTCACAGCAGAGAGGTGCTTATAAGTACTAGAAACAGTGAATAAGCCTTTCTTCTCCAGCCCCCAATAAATTCTATCATTTCTGTCAGCATTAAGAGAAGAAATTTGCAAAATAGCCCTACTATCAACAGCATCAAAGACCTGGTTAACCAACCATTCATTCCATTCCTTACCATTAGGCTGTAATAAGTCTTTCACCCATATGAGGTGCCCTCTAGCAATTGGAATCAAAGTTGGAGATGGTTTTTTAAGATTTGGAACCCAATTAATATCATCTATTTTGGTATGGATCCAATTTCTCACTTCAATTCTCAGCCAATCAGAAAAAAAAGGCACAATTTCCATCCAGGTATTCCACATCCAAGAACCCCCTTGAATCTTATGAGCATGAGTGATGGAAGTTTGAGGAAAGTACCTATCTTTAAGTAGCCTGCTGACCAGAAGATCAGGGTTTGAAGCCACCCTCCAAAGTTGCTTACAAATCAAAGCTTTGTTAAACAGCTGCAAATCCAAGAAACCCAATCCTCCATGC